TATAACTATTGAAATAATATATAAATAATGAGACATACTACTATTCATATAACATTACACTATACACTACTAAACAAAATGCGATACCTATATGTAAAATAATTATAATTATTTAATAATAATCAGTTTTCTATAATTTTAATAATCATTTTATTATATATATAAGAATTTAAGATAATTAAATAAATTAATTTTTACTTTAATTAATAATAAAAATATTAATACTAATATTTAATTATTACTTGTAAAACCAATGTATTGTTACATAATAACATATATCCAGAAAAAAAATCAACATGGGGATCCCAGATAGAAATTTCTTTTAGAAACTTTCTAGAAATTTCTCTATTATTTTATAAATTTCTCTTTTTTGCCAACACTAATAATAACTTATACTTCTATCCATTTTTTTATTTAAATACAGAATTTATAATATTATTATTTTGTTTCTCAACTATCATTTAAATATTTTTTAAATACTATATAATTAAAATCTTGATATTAAAACTTACTTTAAAAGAAAATTTTAAGCTTAAATGATACTATAGAATATTAAATAATATATAAAAAAAATTTAATACATAGAATATTTTTATGCTTTGAATACTACTTTAAATAATAGTACAAAATTTAGATTTAAAAATTGTTAATTTTTTAAATATAAATATTAGCATTATAAAAATTATAGATTTAAAAAATTAAAATACTTAAAAAAGTTAATCAAATAATAATAAATTATTAATTTAATATTTTACATATCATTTTGACAACACTGACAAACACTGCCACATATTTCTCATTCATATACATATACATCGATTTTTTCCTTCAGTCAACTATTAATGTATGAAAACTAATGACAAAAACTAAAAATTCTGTTTTTAAAAGAATTTTGTTAAAATTTTTAACTTTAAAATTTAATTAATTAATTTTATATTAGAGTTGTCTCTTAACCAGCTCTTAGCTAATTTCCAGTGTAGACCAGTTTAACCAACAATTAATAACAATTCAATTAAAATACAGCGATTTAATCAAAATAAGTAACTCTTTTTCATAAAAGAGGCGTTTCTCACAACCACTACATCAAAACTTTAGAAGTTTTTAAATGATTTAAAAATATTTTAATCAGAAATAATGTGCTTTTTACTAAAAATTACATTTGCATTGATAAACATTTATATTAAAATTATATAAGCATAATATACTTTATAAGAAATAAATACCTTTATTTATAAAAAAGATATTAAAATGCTTTATTCTATATTTTATAAACTTTAAGACTAAACTTTAAAAATTAACTTTTTAGAAATATTTTTAAAAATAACACTAATATCTATAGCAAAAATCAATAATCAAATATAATATAATTAATTAAAAATAAGCAGATGTTTGGTTCCAAATTATAAACAAATGTAAAATAATGCCAAAAACACTAATCAAATATATAATACACATTTTTATCATATTTTTATAATGTATTTTATTGACAATACATATTAATTATATTTAATTCATGAGTATAGTTAATTTTAAAAAATTAATTGTAAATGATTATTACATTTTTGTTTTAATTAATTCATTAATAACTAAATATTTATTTGTATATTTCATTTGCCTTAGAATCTTAGGCTTAAATATTAATATTATATCGTATTTCAAAATTTTTATTTTTATTAGTGAAAGTTATTATAAAAATAATCAAAAATCTCGTAAATCATTTTTATATTTAATATTATTTTATTATAAATATAAAAATAATAGATCTAAAAATAATTAGCAAATAAATACATATATTTTAATAATAATTAATTACATTTAAATCAAATTTATTTAATAAAATTAGTAATTCATATTTTATTTTAAAAAACTAATTACAAATATCTCAATTAAGTATAAAATTGTATCTCAATTTAACATTGCTAATAATTAATTAAATAAGCAACTTATTTTGAACATACATTGTAATCAAAAATTACTTTTAAAATCTTGAATATATTATATATTAATAGTACAAAATGTAGTTACATAGGAATTGTATAATTAGTTTAACTTATGTGTAAATCATCATGGTTAAATAACCAGACTAACTTTTGACAAAATTGCTCAGTGAATAACATAATTTATTTATATTTTATTTATTCATCATAATTAAAAAATCAATTGTTTTGACGCAAATCACTTAATGAGCAGTTCGTGACACAAACCTATTTGTTTGAAATTTTTTTACAAAATTTGTTAAAAAGATTGTATTATAAATGTTTTATAAAATAATAAAAACACTTTGGTTTTACATCTAATTAAACTATGATTTATTTACTAAATAAATAAGTATTAGTCTATTACTGACTAAATTCAAGATATTTTTGTGTTGATTTTACTTAATTATGTATCTAACAGTTATATCAATTAACATATTTACTGATTAATCTCAAAAAGCATTTATAATAAATCAAATTATATTTAATAGTTATCTTAGTGTTAGTGTTAATTTAAATCAATTAAATGAATTACTATTTTAATGTTTACTAAATAAATATGTAATAATATTAATCTAATTAATGTCTTCAATTGATAATCAAATGAAATAAATTGTTAATAATAATTTAAAATGAAGTTTTACAAATTATTAATAATATAAATTATTAGTAACGTTAGTTAAATGTCATAGCATTGAAAATCTTAAATCCTTTTTAAATTTACAGTATTTGATAATTTAGTACATTTAGGGTTCGATCAAATTCCTTCCCCGGTTTTATTCTCCAAAAATTTCTCTATTTTCTCTGTTCCTCGGGATTCCTAAAGCTACCACATATTGAACCCTAAAACACTCATTTTATTATAATGTTTTAAAAAATATTATATTAAATTGTATTTTGAGTGATTTTATTAATAGTATGATAAAAGTTATTGAATTTAAAGTAATTTTTAAATATTTTAATATAATATTTAAGTTTTTGTACTATTTATCTATTTATTGTAATTATATTTTTTCTAACTATGGAGTAAGGGAAAATAAAATATTTTCCGGAAAAAATGTAGGGATTTTATTAGGGAACTTCCCTCACGTTGGAATTTGCCCGAACTCTAAGTTACATTAAGTTACTCTAGAGATTTACATTTAAAAATACATCGATTTTAATAAACTGTATTTTTGTTAATTTTTCAAAAATCAAAAGGGAATAAAAATTTATTGAAGACTATGAGTGCATATTTTATATGAAACATCAATTGTATATTTTAGTTAATATACAATAATTGTTTAATTTCACTATTCATACTACTGTTATACTACTTTATATTACACAAACAAAGTGGGTTTAAAATTGTATAATAATGTTATTATATTATCAGTTATAAAATAAAATAAATTTAATATATTATACCTGTATTCAATATTTTTTATAATAAAAATATATATTTTCATTATAATACGAATAATAATGTGATATATCATATATTTCCAAGTTTAATAAAAAAATTATATTTTATTATTTTTATATTTGATATTCAATACCTAATCCTAATATTATATTATTTGATACATTTGTAATAAAGCTATTTATTGTATATATATAAAAATATAATTTAATAATACTGTATATCAATAAAGAATAATACTGTATTAGCAACAAAAAATCATTGCATAAATATCATATTAGATTATATTATAATATTATGATTAAAAAAATAACATTTATTTGACTAAATTTAGATTTTCATTATTAGAGAACATTATAATAGACTATTAAATATTTATAAATATTTTTTATTTATTAAATTGTGTACTTATATTGATTATGAATATCAAATAACATCAATTTTAGTAAAATATTAATTATTTATTGTATTAAAATTTTTTAATAATGATTACAATTTCTTCTATTTGTTTGTTGGCCTAACCGGCAATCATTTACGACAGTTGGCCACAAATTGCGGCACAATTTATACCTTTATAGCCATATTTCGTCCTCTATTGTCGCGAAAGGACTCATCAGAGGGTACCGCGAGATATGGATAACAAAAAATAGACAACACTTACTGATAACTGCCTAATGTTGGGATTACTAGTCGCTTATGTATATCAATACAATGTATCAACAATATTATGTAACTTTGCTGAGAATTGTATTAAATTTTTGAAGTTAAATATATAATAAATAAAATAAATAAATATCATTACTTTTAATTTTTTAAAGACATTTTAAAATTACATTAAATACAGTATAATAAATTCACGCTTTAACAAAAACTTATTTATCTGCATTTATAATTTGTCAAAAATAGTTATAATCAATAAAATATTATAAAAATAATTTTTAATCATCATAATCCAATAAAAATATTCCTTATAATTAAAATTATTTTTTAAAGTGATCTATATATCATTTAGCAAATTAGTCAAACATAAGTGTGAATTACAGTACTTTACTTCTAAACATTAATAATTAGTTATTATTAATAATCATATTATTGTATATCTTATCATTGATTTCAATTTAAAATTTCATAATATATTTTTGTGTACAATTATAATATTGTACATTAAATAAATTATTTGTATATAATGTTATTTTAATTAACTTATGACTGTCTGAATTAATTAATTAAATTATTATTTTTTAATTAATGAAAATATAATATAATGATTTGATTTAATATAAAATAGAATTAATTATACATTATTAAGTATATCACTCAAAGATAATTAAAATAAAACTCATAAATTATATTTAGACATGGATTTATATAACGTATAAAAATTGTGGAATTTTCTAAACATTATTTGTAAAAACTTAAATAACTTATAATAGTAATGATAATACAGTATCATTACTAATGTTGGAAAATTGATTCATTAAATTTATACAGTAATATTTGAGAAACTTATAAACTTAATTTTTAAAGATTTGTGATATAAGTATATAATAATAAATTAAATTTTATGAAATCATAAGTCACTTACAAAAATGATTTGATTGAAATCTATAAAAAACAGTCATACAGTCAATACCAGTGCTATATAATAGTTTGTCTTAAAGTCAAATAAAAGCACTTTTAATAAAAGTGTTGTCTTTGATATTAATGCCTCAATCGATCAGAAAACCACTTCAATTGCTAATAGTATTATAGTTTTCACTAAAGACTTATGAAAAGACATTAATTCAATGTATAAAATATATATTATATTATTTTTTTATATATTGTATAACTAATATAAAATATATTTTTTATAGTATTGACAAAAATTGAAATATTAAGCAAAATTATTGGACAAAAATGTCTAAAATTAAGAGAAAGCAAAAGGAAAAGAATGACAAAGAGTTAGTCGATTGTAATGTCAAACCAGAAGATAATGGGAACAAATCCAGTGATACTAAGTTAACGGACGACAGGAAATCAAAGAAAATGAAGACTAAAAAATCAAAGGAATCGATCAAAAGAAATGGAAGATTTGAAACAAAAATCAGAAGAATTGTACGATAATAGTGAAGATAAGGTAATTGAAAAAAGTGAACGAAAAGACAAAAGAAATAAAAAATCAAAGAAAAGTAAAAACAAAGAGTTGAATGAAGAGTATAATGATTGTGGCACTGATGATGACAAACACAGTCATAAAAGTTTCAATTTGGGGACACATCTGAAGGCAAAAGTGATTGTAGTTTGCGGTGAACCACAACTCAAACTATTCAGAGTTAATGAATCGGAAGGAAGTGATGAAAGACATATCTCAGAGGAGGACTGCAGTCAATACACCAATGGTTTGGTCATAAAGGCTGACGAATGGCTGCTTTTCAGAGATATTGTTCAAAATATCGACAATTTAATGAACTATAATAATTAATATATGATATTATAATTTTCTAATTATTTTATTATTAACAAATACAGTATATTAACGTATATTAAATTTACACATTTATATAATAAAACTAAAGTTAATAAAAAAACCTAAATTTTTATTCTATGATATAATCAAATCTATTGATATGTGTTATACATGTCTTATATTGTATGTATTTTACATTTATGTTGTAACTAAACTGTTACCACTGTTTAACAATTTTGTGACAAACATTTTGTTTAATAGACACTTATATAATAAACGTAAATAGCTTTTTATCATCAAATGCCTGAAATTACTATAAATACTATATTATACTTCTCTTAGATATGTGACTAAAATATAATTATTTAATTTAGTTTTATCAGTAATTGATTTATCACAATTTATAGTTTCAAATTGAATAGTAAATATAATAATAATTAAGTAAATTTTTATGGAAATCTATTACCGAGAAAATTTCTTTAAATAAACTATTAATTAAGAAATTAATAATAATAAACTAATAATTAATTAATAAAATTATTTTAAAAAATTATTTGACAATTATACTGTACTAATTGTTGTTATAATTAATATTATTAATTCTTAAATTTAAAAAATTGAATAAATTCTAATAAAAATTAATTAAAATATTTAACTTAATAATGAATATAGTATTAAAGTATTGTATTATAGATACTATAAATGCTTTATATTTGAATTGTTAAACAATTTACAAATGTTAGATTTTATAAATACAAATTTACATGTGTTACAGAGTTTTAATATTAAACATATTTCATATATTTCTAATTTATTTGTGAATTTCATTAAAAACAAAATTAGTATTTTTGTTCAAACTATAAATACCGTACTTTAAAATTACTTTACAATAAATTCATGGAATTTATTATAAATAATTCATTATATAATACTTTAATACTCTATTTTTATTTATTTATGTTATTTCAAAATTAGACAATTAAAAACTAGAATCATTTAAATGTTTGATTAATGTTTTATTTGTTTTTACAATTCAAAAGTTAAGCTTCAACTTTAACTTTCATTTAATTTATCAAAAAAAACTTCATTTGTTATCTGAATGTGTTATGTCTATCCGTTTTTTGCAATATCTAATGTTGACTTCAGAATCCAATAAAAGATAAAACACTAGAATAGGATGTCTTAAGAGTTGATTAACTCCTATCTGTTAATGAAAACATCAAACTGATCGACAAATATTTGTCAATAAAATTAAGGTTTTTATTTGTTTTGTTTATATTAACTTACATTTTGATGAGTAATTAAGTTTGAAAGTTGTTAAGTGAATGACAGTGAGAATGAGATTAATATAATAATGTAATTTAATTAGATTTAAACAGTTTAAACACAACAGCTATACATTCTAGAAGTGTGTTTTGGCAATGCTATCTAGTCTTCTCAACTGATTTATATATTATTCTATAAAATTTAATTTAATTAATTATTAAATTCATTTTATGTATTTATGATATATAAATTATATAATAGATACTGTAAAGTATACTAGTATAATATAACATTAGTACAACATTATCAATGCATTAGTATTGTATATTTACTATAATATATTGAAAATTACATAATTAACGAAATATGAATCATATTTGAAAACAGGAGACAATACAAGACACTATAAGTTTAGGGGAAAGGGATTGTATAATACAAGAAGCTATAGATCACAACAACGAATCTTATAATAAACAGTTTATTCTAGTATTATATTAAATATAAAATAATATTTTCACAAAAGGTGACAAAAAAACTTCTATTTATTAATTATAATTATTATTTCTTAAATCTATCAATTTTTAATCATTAATAATAGCGCTAATATCTAAATATAGCTTAACTTATTTAATATAATAATTGTATATAACATTAAATATCATGTTAATAATTTTAATATCATAATTATATTGAAAATACCAAAATTTTATATGATTTTAATATAAAAGGAAAATGCAGAAACAGAAAAAAATAAAAAGTTGTATCAATTGAATGAAAAAATAACATACATTTGGCAATGACTTTCTATAAATATACACCAATTTTATTATTGCTTTAAAATTACTAACTATACACTAGAATAATGTTATATCTATCGACTAATAGTAGTATATAAAAGGAATTTTCATTAATCTCCGGCACGCGGTTTTTGCTATAATTCTTAAACGGAGTGAGATATATTAATTTTGTAAATAGTGTATTAAAAAGTGATTTATGCGTGATAATATAATTAAAAATTTTTAATTTTGATCATGTGATCATATTTATTCTTGGATGTTTGCAAACCACTATGTCAGAATCTAACCTATAAATGTTAGAATAAATTTTCAATAGCATATTTGTAAAGCTTAAATTGAAAATTTATGGGAAGAAAAAATTTTTGAAATTTGTCGAAAAATAAATTTTTTATGGCTTTTCAAACATGTGGAAAAACACATTATAAGAAAAAGTAACAAATAATATGACGTTATTTATGGACAGTAGACACTTATTAGATAAAGATTTTAATACTATAACTTAATCTAATAAAAAAAAATTTTATGTCAAATTTTTTTTTAGATAATCAAATTAAAATAAAAAACACAACATTGTAATTCGATAATATAATTTTTAATTAAATTTGATTATCTAAAAAAATATTAGACATAAAAAAATTTTGTTTTTAGAATAAGTTATAGTATTAAAATCTTTATCTATTATACATACAAAAATTAGATACATATTGGACGCCATACTTAAAAAAGTCAAAACTTTAGGTAATATAAAACATAGTTATACATTACAAATTTTTAACTAAGTTTAACTTTATTTAAAATTAATTAACAATAATTATGGTCAGTGGAAGTATTAGATATCACATTATTATCATTTAAATTATTAATTAAATCAAGTCTTATCCTTTCATTGGCCTCATGTTTAATCACATGCCGGACACATTTACCCCACACACTTTTGCCAACTTTATCAAGTGATTTAAATAATAATTTATGAAATTCTTGTACATTATTATTAAAATTATATTTAGAAATAATATATTTAATTCTTGCAAATATTAATTCGATTGGATTTAGGTCACAACTATAAGGGGGCAGTCGAAGGGGGGTATGTCCGGCCTCTTTAATCATGTTATCGACTACAAATTGTGGACTAGTATTATGTAATTTAATTAATTTTAATAATTCACGTTTAGTTTGATTTGAATTAAATGAAATATTATTATTATTTAAGTAATTAATAATTGTTTGTTTCGGCGTATTCTGTACTGGGATTCTAGTGTGTGTCACTTGCCGGGAATGTATGCTTGCGTTATCGTAACAAATAACGCTATTTGGGGGCACATTAGGTAACACATTATATTTAATCCAGTGTTCAAATAGTTCACTATTAATTTTTCTATTAATATAAATATGATTAGCATTCTTTATAAATCCATTATGATTACCAGCACTTAAAAGCGTATATCTGGTCCCTTATCCAATAGTTCGCTTAATTTTAATTTGTTTACGTTTGTCGGTAGGGATTAACAGTTTATACTGGACGTAATTTTTTTGCACTGGCATCTCATCAAGCCATAAACGTAACATAATAAGTGTCTACTGTCCATAAATAACGTCATATTATTTGTTACTTTTTCTTATAATGTGTTTTTCCCCATGTTTGAAAAGCCATAAAAAATTTATTTTTCAACAAATTTCAAAAATTTTTTCTTCCCATAAATTTTCAATTTAAGCTTTACAAATATGCTATTGAAAATTTACTCTAACATTTATAGGTTAGATTCTGACATAGTGGTTTGCAAACATCCAAGAATAAATATGATCACATGATCAAAATTAAAAATTTTTAATTTTATATTATCACGCATAAATCACTTTTTAATACACTCTTTACAAAATTAATATATCTCACTCCGTTTAAGAATTATAGCAAAAACCGCGTGCCGGAGATTAATGAAAACCCCTTTTATATAAAGAAAATCAAATTCAAAACAATATATTTAATGAATAGATATTTTGATGTTTACTCATTCAATTGAAACGAAACATAAATTATATACAATTTCAACTTCTTATATAATATTTTTTGATTTTATGCTATAATGTTAACATAATATGTAGACATATGATATAAAATTACAGTATTGTATATATTTTTTTTTATTTTAAGTCACAAATAACTCATTTTGTTTTTTTTATTATCAGTAATCATTGATTTATTTAAGCTAACATTAGTTTAACTTTAAGAGTTTGGATTAAATAAAAGATGTTAAATAAAACTTTTATTATTTTCTTAATAAAAAATTAATATTATAATATAAACAGTATATCATGATATTTAAAAATTAATATAATATATATTTATTAAATTTAATGTTATCATAAAGTATTTATTTTTAAAAAAAAGATAATTACAATATTTTAATTATTTCTTGTTATTTCTTTTTAATTATTTTTTTGGTTATGATTTTTTGTTAATTATTTATATAATTATATTTAAAATCAATAGTTTACTGATAATTTTTAAAATTAAGAAAATCCTATAAATATAATTTATAAACATAATTAACTGTTTAAAAGTAAAATGATTTATATTAGTTTGTTTCGTGGGATAATAGTTTTAAAAATTTCCATAATATAGTGATATATATAGTAGAGTATTTAGTTATCAATGGCTAATGCTGTGTATAAATTCAATTCATTTTAAAAATTTAGATAAATTTCTTAATGTATTTTAATACTGTACTTAAGTTAAGTATAATATATATCTGCATTAATAAAAAAAAGTTCAAACTTATGGTTAAAATTTTAATCTTAAGTTACTGTATAAAAGCAAAACTTATGTATTGTTTAAGTTTGATATAATCAATACAATGAATACTTTAAGAATATTCTTGAGAAATATTTTGCTTTTTAATAGAATTGTATTACAATTGTCTTTTTATTAGTTATTATTCAATGTCTTTGTAATTTAAAATTAAATAAATCATTTTCCGTATTATAATGTTCATTAAAATACTGCATTTACTGTAATTTATATATTTTAGTATAACTATATTGACATATAATATATATAACATTATTCCCTAACATATAATACTATAAAATATATTACAAATTATTAATACTATTATGTACTTCATTGATCACATCATTGATATGACACAATATACTGTATTTCAGACCTTAATTCCACTTTTTATAAAAATAGGATAAATATATAACTTATTACCGGTAAATATACAGTATAATACAAAAATAATAGTTTTATTTTAAAATACAATAATATTAAATCCCTTAAAACATTTCTTTTTAAAAAATGATAACTATCGGTTCATTTACTGTATAATCTAATATTATATTTTGTAATATAATATTTATTATCTATTGTTGTGTATTTGTTGTATCATTTAAAGTAATGCAACTTAATCTTTTTATAGATTTTCTCATTAAAAAAACTTGAAAAATTAATGATTTAAATTTGAAGTATTACTGAATCATTTTATTATTGATCGTTATTTATATTAATATAACTTTTTAAAAATAATCAATGAAATTGAACTAAATTTATATAACGTATAATATATTATATACAGTATATGTTCTAACAAATGAAAAGCAATTGTCAATTATAGGAAATATACTTTAAAGCACTTAAATTCAATTCTAGTTAATATAAAATTTTATTTTATTTTTGAGTGTAATTTTAAGAAATAAAAATATTTATAAAAAGTACGAGTTTTGATATGGATTTCAACAATTGATTGGATTCAATATACTGTAAGTGAAAATCTTGTTTTTGATTTGTAATGACTACAGTAATCATTAATAATTATATATTAAAACAATCTAAAAATATTTTTATTTTATAATACTTAACTATACTAAAGCTAATTAACACAAAAACACAACCATTTATAATAAGTACTAAATTATAAGAAAATTAATAAACAAATAAAATAAACTACAGTACAGTATTACCGTAATATGTTTTCATTTCAATTTCATTTTAAATTTATATATTCATATATTCATTAAATTATATAATTATTGAAAAACTTAAATAAAACTACGGTTAGTTAAAAAAATTCATTATATTTATAAAAAAAATTATTATACTAAATTTTATATAATTATTAAATATAAATTTCATTTATGTTATTATAATCTATTTTTATAAACCAAAACAATAATTTTTTATTTATAAAATTAAAAATAAATCTCTAATTTTCGTCGTATAACGGTATAACATATCCCTTAACTTACAAAAGCAAAGACACTGTCGTTATGTAATAACTTATTATATAATATTACCGATAGTTTAGTTAGTAAACAACAGTAACAGCAATTCATTGTTAGTCGTCTATCAATAATAGAGTATCAAAAATCCTGAAACAAACTTTTGGCACAAAATTGTCTAAAAACAAGTGAATATCTAATTAAATATTTATCGAAAACCTATAACAAAACAAATTCAAAGTACAACCAAATGAATAAATTATTGTTTTTATATAAATTTCTATTATTTACACTAAATATTATAATCGCTAAACTTTAACTAATGCATCCATTATTTTCCACTATATATATCATAATTAGTATTGAAACTAAAGCACAATTGTTTACATTACCGGAAAGTTAAGTTTGATTAAACAAAATTCATTAAATTCAGAAATCATTTATTTATTGAAATACATAAACATTTCGAATATTAAACATCATTATCTGATCACATAAATACCCGAAACAAATATAAGATCACAAAATAGACAAATATTTTGGTCTCGAGTTGTCATCAGAAAGTAAACTCTGAATGTTTACTTCAGCTTCTTCTTGGGTCTGATATTGTTAGAGTGTCCGCACTTACGTTTGCGACAATTGGTTGCCTTCGGGTGCAATCGGGCGTAACACCTATTAAATTGACAAATCAATCAATCAATCAATTCATTCATTCATTCATTGCTTTTAATTGACTTACTTTCTGCAAATCATTTTATCGCAATTGTATTTCTGAGCCAAAATACGAAGACTGGGCTCAATTACACCACCTCTCAAACGGAGCACTAAATGAAGGGTCGACTCTAAAAGATAACAAAACAAACATTAATTAATCACTGATTCTGTTCACTGTTTGGTCTAAATAAGTGATACAAACCCTTCTGAATGTTGTAATCAGAGAGAGTGCGACCGTCTTCTAGTTGTTTGCCGGCAAAGATAAGTCTTTGTTGATCGGGAGGAATGCCTTCCTTGTCCTGAATCTTTGCCTTCACATTCTCAATAGTATCGGACGGTTCCACCTCTAAGGTGATCGTCTTTCCCGTCAATGTCTTCACGAAGATCTGCATTTCGTGAGCTCTGAAAATCAAGAAAATTAAAACATTAGATCCAATCAATTGCTTTCATTTATACTAAAAATAATTATTAATCAATAGTATTGACTGACAATTGATGACAATTTAAGTGATAATTACCTTTAATTTCAGAGACAATCAAATCAATGACTGAATGTGTGGACAATCGCAGCGCTGACTAAACAAACGCAACGGAAAAGGATATCAAATGTATTGACAATTGATTTCAATAATTACTTCATTCATATATTACGTCATATATTATGTCATTATTCACTTGTTATGAACAATGTTAACAATTGTGACGTTATTTATGGATAGTATTGATTTTATATAATACTGTGATTATCTGTAGATAATTATCAATAAAAATGAATGAAAATTAAGTAACAAAATGTATACAAAAACTGTATTTTGATTATTATTAGCCAATAGTAGTAAACATTATTTGACGTCAAAATTAGTGTTGAATTGCATTGAATTGAATGTTAGGTAAACATTGAATGTATTGTCAATATAGCAGTCAATGTAATCATCAAAACATTTGTTTCAATTGTTTTCACTAATAATTGTCAAAACAATTATCTTTGAGTTTAGTTGTCATTGACTGACCATTTAATCCACATTTCATTGAATATCATTTGATTGCCGACACCAGTGATGTCTAAATCGCCGATAAGCGATGAAAGACTACTCAACTCTAGCGGTAATGACGGCCAAAACGGGTGGAAATACGAGGCATTGGCCGTCATTCAGGACATCCACTCTTTTGTCAAACAACTGACCATCAGTTCAGAGCTTCCGTGCGATGAAAACGGTGTTTATCTCAATTTGGAGACTAAAGAGGAGACAATATTAACTATTGAGATGAGTTCGGCCGGCTTTCGCATTTGTGGCCATCAGTTGGACACCAATGACCTGACAGCCGATGACCGGACTGTTTATTACGAGACGCCGTACGCATTGCTCGATAATATTTCACCAAAATATCGACAATCATTTGGTGACCAATTGGCACAAAAACTACAAGAGTTTAGTGATAAACAAATGATTAACGATTGAAACTTTGATTTCTTTTATTTGTTATTATTATTTAGTGTTTAAAATATTTTTATTTATTTTGTATTAAATGATATTAATATATAATATTAAGTATAATGAATCATAATATCGATAATATTGTAATTTTAAGTATCATTTAAAACATTTTGTTTTATTGTTTTTAGTCAAGTTTTGGAGTTTATAATATAATATTAATTTACTCATAAAGTCATTTATTTGAGTATTTTAATTACCGGTATTTTTTGTGATATATTTAATGTTATATTATATGCATTTTTTGACTCAATTTTTTGTAATTAATTTACTCAAAATATTCAATAAATCGTCGAAAGTTTTATTAATTTTAAATTATAAAACAATTATAATATGATATATTATTTTTAAACTTAGTATAAGTTATTTTGCAGTCAAAACTTAATAATAGTATTATTTCTATAATTAATTTGCCGGTAATTAAAAAATATCAATAATTGTTTTGAACTATTATTATCTAATATAAAACTTGATTAATAAAAATTATAAGATATAATTTTTATTACAGTATTTAAGTTAAAATTTTATTATTAGAATTTCAAAAATGATTACAAAAATATATTTATTTTATCAATAATTAAATGGAAACATTAGTAACTAATTTATTAATATCTAAATTGTTTTTTAGTGATAAATCATTTTCTAATGATTTGCTATAATCAAAGGAAACTTTTATGCAAATTTTGTTTAGCTATTTATTATTTAAAAATATAGAAATATTTGGATATCAATTATAGTACAACTACTGGAAATCAATCAAATTATTATATATGAAATGATGCCTAAAATAGCTAATTATTGCGATCAAAGTTTAACAAATATATAATATATCATTAATAAAATTTCATTTACTGTAGTTGTTTTCAATGAGTTTGCATTATAATTAAATGTTTTTTATTTAGTATTGTTTTAATTATTTACTCTCAAGACTCAAGTATTTTGTGTTTGTTATTTATAGTGCCAACACTTTGTAATTTTTGAGTTTTAATTGTTAATATATTATTAAAAATTGTTAATTTACAATAATTATTGATATTATATTGTCAATATAATTTTATATTTATTTGTAGAAATGTAACTATTAATATATTATACATTGTTGATTGTAGACATTTTTGAAATATTAATGTAATTTTTAATTGTAATAAAATAAAATAAATATTTGGTTTCTAATATATGCTTTAAAATGTTATAAATTATAACTTACAATGAAAATGAATTTCGCAATTGATTTGTTTTTTGCATTTTTAGTATTTTTCACTTAATATAAAATGAGATCTCATTTCACTTTTGTTTTTTATGTTATCAAATAATGCATTATTTGATATCAAACTAATTTAATAATACTTTTATTTTTATTTGTTTGTTTGTCTTTAAATGGAAAGCAATTGTTTAATTGAATTAATACAATAAAACAAATTAGGTTTTTAATGTCAAACTATACTATTATCTTAATACTCATATACTTAAACTGTATTGAATTAAAAAGGTTATGACTTTTACAGACCTAACTATTTATATATTACTAATAAGTAATGTAATTAATAAAAATTGCAAAATAAATATTTATAATTTTGATAAAAAGTCGGAAAAAGATCTTTCAGGTCATGACTAGTGGACACAAAATCAAGTATAAGTAAAACAAAAATATAAGTTTTTAATTGAAATGTTATATTCTTATCATAAACAGACTATATTTTACTAATTGTTGACTTAAAGAAAATTAATTATTATTACTTTTACACAATTWATCATTAATAAAGTAAAACTCAAATAAAAATAAATTATAAAATGTTTTGCCATAAATATGCAGTATAATAATATTGTAAACTTTATTAATTTATGATATTACCCTCAATATTACAAAATAGATAATATAACTTATAATTAATATGTTGATTTTTTAGTCATAATAAAATTTATTGAATATATGTTATTATAATTTATAAAAATGTAAAAAAACATATTTAAAATTTTAATCTCAAGTTTAATATAGAACAGCATTTTCACAAAATTATTGAGATATTATTACAATTAATTTTTTTTATATAATTTTGAGACTCAGATCCTACTTTGGGAGAAATATAGTTTTAAATTTAAGTTTTAAGTTAAGAGACATAAAGTAAAATACTTGTTTTAATGTAATCATATTCAATACATTACTTAAAATAAAATATAATATTCGTGTATAATCATATAAACTAAAAATTATATACTTTATACATACTGTATATGTAAATATACTAAATTAATACTAACTTATAATATAATAATATAAAAATAACAGAAATGAATTAAACTTTTTTTTTATTATACAGTAGTAGTCATAACAATAGATAATGTATATTATATACTTATACATTGTATACTACTGTATAATACCATTTTTACTTTAATCACAAATAAAATCCAATTAATTGTCAATTAATTTATTTGCTATTATAGTATATAATACTGGTTTGAGTTCATTCCATGAGATTTTTATTGTATTTTCTATCAATTTATCAAAAAAATAATTATAAATCGATAGATTTTTTTCAGTGTTTTTAAAAGCAAATTGTCTGTAATCATGATTTATTTGGATCTAAATCAGATAAATGTTAATAAAATAATTATATTTAATTACAATAAATTATATTTGTAATCATTAAAAGTGATTATATATAAAGCATATAAATACTATACATTGATAGCTATTGTTAATTTTTTATGTATTGTTTACTCATTTAAAAAACAACAATTTTTACAGATTAAACAAATAATATAATAAATATTAACAAAAAACAGAGATGTGTAATATCTCAAAATCTATAAAAACATATTTAAATTTGTTTAATGGCAAAAATATACTAAATATTTAAAATAATAGATTTCTTTATCAATTATCTTAAAGTTTAAATTTAAATATTTTATAAAATAAAAGTGACTATGCTTTTGTAATATAATTATATTGCGGTCTACTATTTTTTAATTTATTTATATATAATAAATTATTGTTAAAATTTTTCTTACATTTGAAACATTAATGTACAATAATATTAATCTATTATATTATGTAATTAATACCAAATAATAATAATAACCGTAAGATTGATATTATAGTTAGCGTAAACGCGAGCTAATTATGTAAATTTATTATTGTTGTCTCTTAGGGGAAAAAATATAAAATATTGTTAAACTAAAGTAGATTTGAATTAAGATTAGTATATTTGATAAATATTTGATTTTGTTATCAATTAGTAATTTGAATGTTTTTAAGTAATACTGAAACAGTGGCGAATTGGCCTCTAATAGTGGCATTAGTGATGTTTGGATTAGCCATCAATGCCATGATTGCAATCATTATGAATCTCTTAAAAGAAGAGTTTGTCAAATCTTACGATAAGTGTCGTTCACATGAGGCTCAGTACAGATATTTAGTAAAACTGCGGATCAATCCATCAAATAAACACAACTTTGATATAAGAAAAGAAGTGCTAACACTCCGGACTCTTGACGACAAACCCAATAAAAATGGCGATTTGTGTGACACTTATTTAACCACTTTTTCTGTCAGACTGGTGTTATTTCCAGTGCTTCGGCGTCTTAAGTCTTGTAAACAATTTGAACTCAATGTACTTATCCATCGAAAAGATCCGATTAATAATTTTGGTTATATTGTAATAAATCATACGGCAATAAATGGCGATATCTTTATCTATGACATCAAGATTATCGATATTGACTACAAACGTGTCACCTATTATACAGATGTCAACCGTAATATTCAATCCATTTCTCAAACTAATACCACAACAACAGACAGTGAAAAATTTCAGCTAAAAACAACTCATTGGAAACGCGATGACGAAGACTGTCAACCATTTAAAGAGATTGAAATCAACGAACACTTAATACTTTATTACATGACATCCAATCTGTTATTCCTATTGATAGCACTTTGTATTCATTTTGAAGYCAAGTTTTGGTCGATAACTGTCTTATCATTTCAATTGCCATTATTTCCTATAGTAATTGTGCCGATTATACATCTATTGGTTGCAGTCTTTTATAGATATACTCTAAAAGTCTACTATTTTTGGTCATTTGGATCCAAATGGAGTAACCATTTGTGTACTATATTTCTCAGTATTTGCTTCTTCATTGGTATCGGTACTTCATTTGCAACAATTGGTCTAATGTTTTACAATATGTCTGATAATTGGATACTTCTGATGGCATTTATCATTCATACCGCACTTATTGTCTTATTTGTTGTGTTATCGTATATCACTAATACTCGACTATTCACAACATTTAGACAAATATCAAAATCAATGAACAGTAGTTTTCAATGATTTAATTTAATTTAATCTCTAATTTTATGTTGTGTTAAATATTTAATATATTAAATTCATTTGATTTATATTATTTGTTATTTTTTTCTTTAATAATTTTATTATTACTACAGTTCTACAAAAAACTTGATTAATATTCAACAAATAAGAGATTTTAAACTTTTAAACACTTTAACAAAAACTTTTAATTGGAATTGAGTTTTCGGTAATATTTGATAATATTTTGAATTTTTGATAAAAGTTTTACTATAAATGAGATTTATATAAAATTTGTTCAAAACTAATAGTATAAACTTATATTACGCTAAGTTATAAACTTTTATTTAAAAATATCAGATATATTGCTCTATGAGTTTATAATAATTATAGTTCATAATTATTATGAAAAATACTTTATTGTAATATAATATAATTAAACTTAAAAATACATTTATAGCAATTAATATACAGTTTTTAAATTTATGATAACGTGAATATTTTGTTACTGAGTTTAAATTATGATTTATWTTAGTTTAATTATTAGCACTAAAATCAAACTATAATATTAGTTGTAATATAAATTGTGGTTATTTAGTATATTTCTATATATGTGGCTAAWTTGTCATATTATATACAGTATATATAGTGTTAATTTAATTCTATACTTATTATAAAAATATGACAAATAATTACAAAGATTGCCACGAATTGAAATTCTTGGATAATCCTAATGAATGTGATATCACTTTCAAAATTGAAAACAAGACAATCGCTGCTAACAAATGGTTACTTAGATTGAGAAGCGATGTGTTTAACGCCATGTTTTCAGTTGAATTCACAGAATCTACTGAATCAGTGATTGACATCAAAGACATAAAATACAACACATTTAAAGCACTTCTCAAATATATTTATTGCAACCGAATTATACTTGAAAACGATTGCAATTGTCATCAAGTAATGGATCTATACATATGTGCCGACATATATCATATAAAGTCATTGATGGAAACACTGGAGAAAATGTTGATCCAAATGATCAACTTTGAGACCATTGAAGAGATCTACGAATTTGCCAAACAGTATAGCGTTGAGACTATGTTTGCAAAATTGAATTCTTTTCTTAACAATAATCTCGACTATTATATGACCAAAACTATCAGTGAATTGAAACGATTGGCGACATTGAGTGATGGATATCTGATGGAACTGTTGGTCGAGTGGAAGAATAATGAAATCTTAAGATTAGAAACCATATTATCTCAATTGGCCGCCAATTGTTATCAATGCAAAAACAGGATTACTTTCAATGCTAACAATAGATTTTGAATCTTAATTTATAATTCTCCTTAAGTTAACTTTAAAATTTAAATAAATTGTATATAAAAATAATGGTTTAGAAATTTATTTTGTTAAAAAATTGTATTTAAAGAGTATTATACAATCTGTAAATTTCATAACTTGGAAAACATATATTTCTTTTGTTGATATAACTAATATTAAATATTATAAATTAAATATATATTTAATATGATTAACATAAGTGAGTTTAAGTACTGTATTTATTATGAGATGAAATTCTAGTTTTTGACTAAACAACTGATTAAATGTGAAAATTTAAATTGTATTTTCAATTTGTACATATTTTTATAATAATTGTTAATTTTTTTTAAAAAATACAATTTATTTATAGTATTAATGATTATTAGTCGGTTTAATCCATTTTGATTGAAGTATGAGTTCAGTGGTCAGTCGTTTATCTGAATCACAACAAATGTTTTCAATCAAATTTTTAGCGCTTTCAGAGACATCAATATTTTCGGGATATCTAATGGTAAGACTTTCTTTAAGTGCTATCATTAAGTCATTTCTGTCTTCGCGATCGACGCCAAAGTCAGATGTAAGGAACGGTAACTCATTGAAGAGCATCTCATATAAAACTATACCTAAACTATAAATATCTGTTTTAAAGGCATCGTAATAAATAAACTTTGAGGACAGTATCTCCGGTGCCATATATATTTGTGAACCTATTGATGATCCATATTGTTATAAATATAAAGATAAAATGTTTATAATAACCTTTATGTGAAGTACACATGGCTTTATCGGGACTGCTATTATCTGTATTGTTGTTAACTATTTTAGCAAAACCAAAATCTATATACTTAATGACATTCATGTTCTCAGCACTGATACCAATAAGTAAATTGGCCGGTTTGATATCCCGGTGCACTACATTATTGCGGTGCAACCATTGCAAACCTTCAACCATTTGCTTGAAGTAATGTTGGGCTATCTGTTCATTGAATGGCTGTTTACGAGTAATCAACAATTGATTCATATCATTGCTTTCAAACCAACCCATTATGAGCCAAACCTCATTTGGTATGTCATCCGGATTATCGATAACTTTCAAAAATTTAATGACATTTTGGTGTTCAATAGGTGTTAAATGTTGGACTACTTCGAGCTCCTGTTTTAATGTATTTTTATTGCACTTGTCTTTATGTGTCACTTTAATGGCCACTTTCTCTGAGTTAAATGTGCCGTAATATACATCAGCATAACCTCCCTGTCCAACATGACTAATAAATTTGATATCCAATTTGGATGCACTTTCAATGGCTTTTTTATCTACCAAATAATGATTGTATTTAGCCATAGCTTTAAATGACATATCTATTTACTGTTATGATTGTAAATTACATTTTAATTAGTTTGTATCTAATTGTTAGTATAGTAATTAGCGAATTTAAATTATTCAAAATGATTTATTCACTCGTGATTAATAATAATAATAAATTTTAATTATATTATTATAAATGATTGACGAGTTATACAAATATTAGAAATAATTGACAAATTTATCTCTTGACTGAAACATTAAAAATATATGAAAATAATTGAATATTTTGTATATATTTTATTAACGGTCGAAGTTTATTACTTCTTAATATAAATTCAATAATAGTTTATATGATAATAAAATAATAATTTTAAAACTAGTAATTAATTGTCTTTTATTATAATGAAATGTTTAGTGATTATAATAACTGCCATAATATGTGAAGAAATATCTGCCACTTCTACTAATTCATCAATAGTTTCAACAGTTTTACCTACCAGTGCCAGAGTCTGGTATTTTAGGGGTCCATTTAAGAACAATTGGTATAATTTAATACTATATATATTGTGTCTAATCATTGGTCTGCTGTTACTCTTGTGTTGCATTTGTGTCATATGTTTTCTTTGTTGTCGCAAACGCCGGAGTGAGTCGTTAAATGTGACGCCGTCTGAGTTGATAGCAGTGGGCGCCACACCATCTGACTTGAAGGCGGCAGAAATAACACCTTCGGTACTGAAAACTTCGGGGGCGACGTACTCACAAATGGCCAAATTGGGTGCCACACCATCACAATTGGTTGAGGTCGGAGCTGACAAACAAACTTTACAGAAATTAGGTGCAACTCAAAGCCAACTGTCTCACGTCGGCTTCTCTGACAAAAAGACACCTCCGGTACAGTTTTGTTATATTTTTATAGAAATATTATATATATATAATTTACACTAATATTTTAATTTTAATTAAATAGCAATTGGTATCAACTAAAGAAAAGGATGATAAGGCCGTTACTTCAAAGGTTAATAAGATTTCAGTAAAAGACAATCTAAAGTCTAAGGTTATGCCAAACAAAAGTAATGAAAAGTCCAAAGAAAGTTCAAAAATTAGACAAAATATTCAATTATTTGCCGAAAAAGTCAAAACCAGATCAAAAGCCAAGTCGACGACAGCCGCGACTGGTGTGGAGTCAACCAAACCTGTGCTCAATGCAGGTATATCTACAGTCTCTACCTCTCCCGACAAAAAGGCGGCTGCACTTAAAGCTACCGATGACTCTATGTCCTTATCTATGGGACCCACCAGTAAAATGTAGAAAACTACTGTAATTTTACTTAATTTTTTTCTTTATATGTTATTATATTTATATTTAATATAAAATTTATATTTTTAACAAAAAAAGTTAAATAATATTTTTTAATTTGTTTTTTGGTTAATTTTTTTTTATAATTTTGTTATGAAACATAAATAGCAATTAAGAAATGTTTTCAGATTTAGTGATATGTATAATATTGTACGATATATTTTTAAATAACTGTTTTATTTATAAGTATTTATAAATGCAATATTTTTAATATGATTTTTTATAGACAATCACTATAATAAAAAATGTAATATTTATTTTTTATAAAATAGATTTGCATTGTATTATCTAAATACTTGATTAAATATTATAAAAAATAATATAGTATAATTAAATAAATTCTAAATAACTTATTATTTAAATTCCAAAAAAAAATTAAATCCGAATATCTATTGATTAGTTACAATAAATAAAATATTTTTTAAATAAACAAACAAAAATAGTTTTGATCATTGAGTTAGAAAGCTTTAATTATATTTAATAATTGTTTTTATGTTGATTTTTATAGAATTAAAAAATAAGTAATCATTGGAAATATTTGGATTTAGATTTTAATCATTTATTAATAGTTGTTATATTTATTTATATTTATTAATATAATTTATTAATAGTATTTATGTTATATTGTACCGTAATGTTAAACTGTTAATAAGCAACTAATATAAAAATGTTTGTAATATTTATTTAGTTTAATGATAATTCATGATAGCTCTAAATTGCACTCTAAGTAAAGTTTAATATCATGTAATATTTTTGTTAAGTTATATGGCATTGAACTTGAAAATTTAATATATTGAAATAATAAATAAAATAAACTTATTTGGTAACAAAAAATTAAATAATATTCTGTAAAACAAATACATCAATTTTATTACATTAAGCTATACTGATATCTATATATTATATAAGTTTATAGTAAAATATTAGTAAATCATTTAAAATTCATTTTTGTTTGTAACTTTCAATTTTTTAATAATGTCTAAATTTTTTATAAATATTTATTTAAATTTTGTTATTTTGTTATTAATTGTATATTTAAAAAATAAATTCATTTATACATTGAGTGGATACTATGGGTCTGAATTGTTGCCCAAGGATTACAACCGTAACAGTGCGCCAAAAGTTAATGGCAGTGCAGTTGAGGTTAATGTCTCAATAATTGTGTTAACTATAACTCCCGATGCCGACTCAAAAATGGTTATTTATGCTAATTTAGTATTAATTAATATATAGCTAACATATTCTTATTAATATTTAACAGGAGTTTGATGTCGATATGTTTTATCATCTTTATTGGAAAGACTATAGACTACAACCGGTTCCCGATTCAGATAAACTTATTCTGGATTATGAATGGAAAAGCCGTTTGTGGATTCCCGACACATATTTCAGAAACGCTATCAACGGAGGAATGGCTAATGATGTCATATCTCCGAGTGTTTACTTTATTATTAATAATACATACGACGTGTTTATGGCGGCCAGACTTCGGGTCAAATTTAGCTGTGATATGAAGTTTGAAAAATATCCTTTCGATAAACAAAAGTGTTTTATTAATGTTACCACTTGTATGCTATTATATATATATATATGTTTTATTACCAAATGTCATACAAAATAATAATATTAATGTAATAATGATTTGTCTTAAGTATCGCAAAATATAAATACCGTGCGTTTGAATTGGCACTCCTTCCGGATGACATCCAATGTGGATCAGCCGGAGTTCTTCATTAAATTTCACTCTATAAATAGCTGTCTTAAAGATTATCAGAATTTAGGTATTCAGATATCAATTATTATAATAAATAATATGATTTACAGATAATATACTTAAAAATAAAATATTTTCATTTGTTTTGTTAATTAAAGGTATCCATTCATGTCTGTATGCAATGATACAAATGAACCGAAATGTTGGCAATTATCTTATTAAACGTTTTGTGCCATCATTTCTAATAGTTATTATGTCATTCATTGGCTTCTGGATACCGCCGCACATAACACCGGCTCGTATATCGTTAATAGTGACATCACTTTTAGCATTAATAGCACAACAAATTCAGGCTGAGCTCAATGTGTCATATATTTATGCACTCGAGGTTTGGACCATAATGTGTATCGTCTATGTCTTCGCCACTTTGATTGAATACGCTTTGGCCATATCGTGGACACAAAGTCTTGACACCAATAATATCAATAAAAAACAGTCGTTTAAAACTAACTGTACTATTGATGTCATATCAAGATTTATATTTCCTTTTTGTTACATTTTATCTATCATTTCATTCACTGTTATCTATTATATTCTCGATTGATTTTATTTAATGTGTGATAATTTAAATAAAATATATAATTTAGAGAATATTTATTAATAATTATAACATATTTATTAATAATTATAACATATTTATTAATAATTATAGCATATTTTTAATAAATTTTTAAAATCTAATTTATTCAATATTAAAACATAATTCTACTTTCTATTTATAATCAAAAATTTTTATATTATTTTTTAAATATTACTATATTAAGTATATATAGGATTTTAAGTAAAATATACTAAATTATAATTTATCAATTACTTTTTATAATAATATTTAGTAAATATTAAAATTATTTATTAAATTAGAAAAACAATATTTATTAGTAWAATGTTTAAAATTTAAAAAAAAAATATTAAAATTAACTATTACAATAATTTAAACATAATACAATAACAAAAAATTTGATTGTATTTTTATAAACATATCAATTAATATAAATTTATATACTTAAAAATTTTTAAATCCTATGTTTAATTGTTTACTACCGTATTGTTTATTATTTGAAGATTTGTTTGGAATATAAATGAATTTCAATTAAATAATAAGATTATAAATTTTAAAATAGTCTAATTACCGGTAATTGCAATACAATAATTTATGGTAATATTTATCTTTAAATAATAAATTTCAATCGTATATATAGCAAAAAATGAACACAACATTATTTACAAATTAAAATAACTTTTAAAAACACTATTTGTTAAATGGTATCTATGTTTGAATCGCCTAAATCATCAGCAATAGAGCTATTATTTTCAATTTCGTTGAACGGAATCAAAAGTGGCGGCAAATTTGCATTTGTGTCCATTGGTTGAGATGTTTGTCCATTTATGTCATCATTGTTAGCATCTAATAGGACGGGTGGTTCAGACACCGATTTCGAAATTATTTCACTTTTGGATACCTTTTTAGGTATTTTTATTTTCTTTAACTTATTGGGAGACAATTGTATATTAAGTATCGGTTGTGCGGTTGGTTTGAACAATGAAATAGTTCTGGATATCGAAGAAGATGACACTAAAACTGAGAGACAATCTTTGATTGTGTGATATATAATATTTTTAATCTGCAGTTTGTCTTCGTGGTTGTTGTGGCGTTTGGATAGCTTACGAAATTCTTGAGTTAGTGACACACAATGTCCAACATTTTCGGGGGACACGAACTCACCGGCGACTTTGATACACGAGTGTATGTTTTGGACCTGATGTGGTGCTCCCGCCGGCACTAAGATACCATCACCTAAACACTGGGCAATAGCCATACCTCTAACTCCATATTCTTGTTCAAGTCTTGTGCGAAGTGTTTCATCCAAATACCAACTTTGATCATGAATTGGATCCGTAGTTATTTCATTACTCTTCATATTCCTCTCTTTTGCAACTTTTCTAATGAATTCTCTGATTTTGTTGGCATCTTCTGCACGCCATATATGCCAAATGGCACCCACTTTGAGATCATTTGTCAACATTCTATCCATCATTTGTTGATCGCACCCGCCTTTAACTAACGCATCATTTTGAGCATTAATATGACTTTCAAGAAGTACGCCATTTTTATGAGCGATTCCAACATAAACCATAACATTGACGGCATCACTCATGTCTAAGTGTAAGTTTGTTGATCCCTTGTCGGTATGCATTACCGATCCATACGCACAGTACATCTTTGGTCCTAAATCGGGTCGAACAAAGAAATTGGGCAAACGTGAAGCCAAATTTCGGGGACCATCATATCGGGTGTATTCATTCATTGGCAACGCTTCCATGAGATTATCGTACCAAATGGGAAGCTTATCGCGAAACTCTGCGTCCGGCGGCCAGTCTTTCAGCTTAAGTATCATTTCTTGACCAGTATTTTGATCGAGCAATCGTTTGGTCACATCTTCAAAACCGTCCCAAAAAACACTAATCGATGTCTTAGGCATTATGTGACCGTTTAGGCAATTAACTAAACGACTCTGTTGTTTACCATAATTTTTGTTAAATGATTCGGGTGACCATAAATCTTGTTTCAGTAATGTATGGACGCCTTGCATCATAACAGGCTATCAAAAAATAACAATAAAAATAATTAGCTGTAATATTATAAAAATAATTACCGGTAGTAATAATACTTACATAACCCTTAAGCCAAAAAACTTGAAATAAATCAATATTTTGTTTACATTTGGGATCTGTTAAAACTAATAATTTCTCGTCAAAAAACCATTGTTGCGGTACATTTGAATATTGACTCTTGAGATTGACATCACTATAGATATGTTTAATATCCATATTAAGATTGTCATCGAGTTGTCTACACTCACAAATGCCTTTTATCTTATGTTCGTTACGTATCTCATGCGATAAGTTATCGATGAAATCAAATACAGCTTTAGTGATGAATAGCGCCAAATGAAGATCTTTGATGTCATGCTTTTCCTTATGTTTATCCTTATGACATAAAAGCCATCCAAACTCGTCGTGATTTAGTCGTGACTTCTTCTCATTTGTCATCGACTGCTGACTTCGGTAAACATAGCAATCAACACAAACAGCGAGACCACAGTTGGGACAGACATAGTGTGTGTTGAAAATAGTTGTCTCACAGATATCACACAACTCTCTAATACCTTTCACGGGTTTCTTCCAAGTAATCGCTTCAAAGTCTCGTCTCAGATCTTTTTCGTCGTTATAAATCCGACAAAACTGTTGACTCACAAAACCCAATAGATATTTGGCGTGATTTTTATCGATAATTATTTTCTTGACATTTTCTTCTGGAAGCCATACTCTGCAGTCACCAATTGATGCATTTGACTCTTCAGCAAAACCATATACTTTCATCTGTCCGTTCTCTTTGATTAAAGTTCTGTATTGATAGAAACGACACGTCTGTGTCACACGTTTTTTGTCGATACAATCCATACAACACGTAATCTGTTGATCGGGAAAGTCGTGAACAAATTGATTACACGGTCTGTCCTGTATTAAAGCAACGCCTTCTTTGAATGGATTAAACTTCTGATCAATAAAATCAAGAAAAGACTTTTGTTGGCCTAACTTCTTAACGATTACCACTTTATTGGGTTTATGTCTCTTAATTTTTCGCTCTTTGGTCTCATGTTTCTCACTTATTGTCTTTATTTGCTGATTGCTTTCAATGACATTAGTTGTTACTTCTGTAGTTATTTGATTATCATTACTTGGATTATCATTAGTAATGTTGATGTCTGTGGTCTTTTGGTCAGACAGTTGTGTTTCATTTGTAACCTCTTTGTCTGTCACAATCATATCAGTAGTTTCCGACAAAATGTATGCATTCAATGATTGGTCATCACAGAGATCAGTGTTGGTGGTCATCACTTGTTGTATGGTCTGATTGGTGGTCACGTCGTGTTCAATATAGCCGGAGCTCCACATCTGTAATACTTTATTTCGGGCGCTAACTGTATATAACATTATTAATATTAATATTTAAAAAACAATTACAAAGTCTTATCTATTGTTAATATCAACAAATAGTCAAAACATTTATCACAAAATCATTGGATCAGTTGCGGTGACAAACCTTTAGTATCATTCATTGTCTGTAATATAACTATAATATATATGATATATATATAACTACTGTATAATTAACATAAATTTAAAGCAAATCAACGAAACCAATGGTTAAGCCATGCAATGCATGCAATCATTAATCAAACTTAAGATTAAATTAAGGATTCAATTAACTAAATCATATCATTATTATTATTATTATTATTATTATTACTAACGAAATGTTTGCGACAATTGTTTTGTATAAATAGTCAAATGTGTTGACAAAACTAGAGTCACATTCAAATTGATGTGAAACTGTAGGGACCGTACAGTCATTGTAAATGAAAATATGATATGTAATGTATTAAAAATAAATTATTGTATAAATTTATTAAACATTTGTAATAATAAATATTAATTCCGGTAAATATCGACTTAAAAATTATATTTATTTTACTTTTTAATTATCGAAATTTTTATACATTGAAAACATTATAAAATAATTGAATGGATTTTTATTATTAAATTTATCTATCTTATTTATTAAACTATTTATTACAAAATTTTTAAATCAACATGTGATTGAAATTATTTAGCCATTGATATTATAGGTAATTAATTTATACCATAAAAGATATAACCGGTAATTATTTAAGAAATTGCACGCCATATAAGGCAACTATAGTTTCAAAATTTCATTTTAAAAATGTAAAAATTAAATTATCATAAAATACATTAAAATGAATAAAATAATTTCATATACGATAACGTAATTAAAAAATATTTTTGTGAATTTATGAAACCTAATAATTGGTGCACTGTTTTTGATATTAATTATCAATATTATTATTAAATTATTGATATGTTTTAATATATTAGTTATAAGATTATGTCTTAACCTATATTTGTTTGACCGAAAGTCTTGTGAAAGTCAAGTGTCCACTGATAGACAGCACATCTCGAAGAACAGAATTTGTTGTCAAATAAGTGAAAAGTCGATACTTTTTGGTTACAATTATTTACAAAACAACACTCAATGTCATCACTTTGTTCTTCATTTGCTATAATTTGGTCAACTCTTGTATTGGCACTGAGATTGTCCTTAATTTCTATCATTTCATTGGTTATCTGTTTGTCAATCACTTTATTGGCAGATTTACTATCATTATTATCATTTGATATCACTTTTGAGGACACTTCGGGAGCGCCGTTATTACTATAATAATTAGCCGAAAATCGATGTTTTCGTAATTTTCTTAAAATTTCTGACTTTGTCTCTTCATTTGGTTCATGCAATGAATGATTTATATTTTGGTCAACAATTGATTTGTTTTTAATTTTGGTTAATTCGTGTGAATCATCTGTTTTTGTTAAATGTCTTGAATTGTTATTTGACAGCACTTTCAATGAATTGTTGTCTTTTATCGGTGAATCACATATCGACCGCCGGTTCAGTCGATTATGACTTGATTTATGAGTACTCTTCATTTGTTGGTCGACAACATCGGGTGATTCACTGTCCACTAAACTCGATGTCCAATTGGACATCACTTTAGATCTGGCGCTCACTAACAGACAAATACAAGAGTTGTATTAATAAATAAATTATATTTAATATATGATATAATAATTTGTATAAAACAATAACACCTTTAAATGATAATTCAATTATTTCACTCATTTATTGTCAATTGATTGACAAAACTTTTTAATTTATTTGATATTATTTTTGATATTATTTTTGATAATATTTTTGATATTTGTTAGTCAAATGAAATAATCATTAAAATGAATACTTATTGAGAAAAAACTATTGATTATTACAATCAAGTAATGCATTCAAAGTAAAAGGCATTCAAGTCTTCCACAGGTTTTTCGTGTAAACAATCAATCGATTGATTCATTAATTCATTCATTTTTATACTAAAATTATTTAATTAATTCAAAATACTTACTAAAATGTATTATAATTGCGATTATTTACAATCAATTGTTAAATCAATTAATATATTAATAGCAATGCAATAGTAATGTGTATAACAATTGACTCAATAACTGGCATAACATAGACATCAAGTGATAGTCGATTCAAACATCAAATTGTTGTATATTTTGGAGGGAATTGACAACTGTTTAAACTTTGTGTACATAAGCTATGATACGCCTGTCTATTGAATATCAGGTTATTGACTGTTATTATTATATAAATAGTTTCATATTTTATACATTTAAATGTATTTTTCTAAATAATTGTCAATTTTTTCAATTAAAGCATTTTTATATTTTCTAATTGAATGTAATTTTTATATCTTTTAATAATAATTTTACAATCAATAATATTTTACTGTATTGTACTTAAATAATACATTAACTTTTTTACACATTAACCTAATATTGCCTTTAATTAATTAAATGATTTAATTAAATGATTACAACCATGGTAAAAATATTTTTAAATTAAAAAACATTATTTTTTAATAAATAACGAATAACTGATATGATATATGATACTTACATTTAGTTTTAATAACTTTTATAAAAAAAAATTATATAATGTTATGTTATTTCCTCTAACTTTTTGAACTAATAATTTAATTTTGTAAATAATTTAAATAACTATATTTTATATTAAACTATTGATATTACTATATGATTATACAGTATATCATATTATATATGATTCATATTGAAAATTGAAAGAGTTTTGGTTTCTAAAAATATTTTTCAATGTATTGTCTAATAATTTAATATAAGCACAAAATCATTTACAAACAAACAAAAAATTAGTACATTTTATTATATGATTGTTTCATCATATAATAAATAGTATAAAAGCAATCGTATAATAAAATGTATTAATTTTTTGTTTGTTTGTAAATGATTTTGTGCTTATATTTAAATCACTATTCATTTAAAACTTATAATAATAGATATAATCAATGAAAATGGTTTTATTGAGACTGTATTATGTGATCGAACTGATTGTATATTTAAAAACCCCAAACAGTTAAACCCATAGCTTTGAAAATATAATATAAATATTTAATTAAATCAATAGTTTAAATCTTTTTATAAATAATAAATTTAATATTAAAAATAATAGCAATAAATGTTGAATTTTAAACATTTATAAGACTATCGGTTAACTCTTAAACGGTTTGGTTTTTAAACATTGTCTGAGACTCTCAGTTAAAGTCAATAGTTTTTAAGCTCTAGTCTTGACTTTTATGATGACTGTTGTGAAGTCACGTTCACAATGTTTTCATAGATTTGAGGGACCGTTGTTTGAGTGATCAAAAGTTTTATACTATTATACATCAATTGACTATAATATAAAGTTTATGTCATTTTTCAATTAATTTAATATTAATTATTTCAATGATTTATTATACATAAAATCAAAAAAATATAATTTACATAATCTTTACACTATATTTTATTAATATTTAATACTATATATAAATAATTATAGTATTTGATATACTTTATTTTTTATAATGTATTTTTGTGTTTAATCAGTATTTAAATGTACCGGTAATTTATAATTAAAAATCAAAATAATTCAATACAATAAAGCTAATTTTATAAAAAGCAATTAAAATTTTAAAGTTTCATTGAAACCCCATTTGATATTTTAATTATCATATCATTTAAGTTTTGTTATTTGATAATCAATTGAATCCCTTAATAATCACATTTAATATTGAGATTATTAAGATCGGGATAAAACTGCGGCACATATCCGGGTCGGAACAGTGTCCACACTTGACCAGCTCGTGAGCCAGCGCTACCTCCACCAGCACTCGGTGTGATTTGATAGCCGAGAGCGGCCAGTTTGTTAAGGACCCGAACTGGCGCGTCGTCCACTTTGATGACCATTGCTTTGGCGTTTGGATCAAACTTGACTTTCTTGTCATCGATCACTTCAATCCTTTGTTTTTCTCTCTCAACTATTTTCTCCATTTTTTCTCTCAATTTATCTGTTTTTTCCGGATTCTTGTCTTTCATTTCCTTCAGTTTTGATTCATATTTTGCTTTAATTTTATCACTTTTGTCACTCTTGTATTTCTCCTTTTAAATAACACATAACTAATTAATATCATTCAAAAAATAAGTTTTCTTAAGTTTTGCAGATATGAGTCATACTTACAGCACTTTCCTTTGATTTGTGGCGGCGTTTAGACGAAATGGTCAGATATTTGGTTGAATCAGAGATATCGGAAATCTGTTGATGAAGTGCTGAGTCCTCTGTCGATATACAAGTTGGTCCGTATAACACATCTTCGGCCGTCACCAACACAAATGACATGTTGTCTAACGAGAAGATAACAAGAATTACAGAAAATGGATACAAGAAATGATTTTGAGAAGTGATGGCAAAGTTATGTCAACTTTTGTATAAAAATATTGTAAATATCCGTCACTTTTATGTATATTATATTATGATATATTGAGTGACACTCCTATATGTTTGTATAGTTGTGTCGACACTTGTTATATAAAAAGTAAATGTAATATCAATTTAAATGTTTATTATATTAACTACTTTCACATAAAACATTGAAATCAATGGTTAATGACTCACAAACTTGTTATTAATATACAATTGAAAACCTGCTAAACAAGTATTACTGTTAACGCACGCAAACATTTATCATTGATTTTTGTCGCGTTTTTTACAAATTTTGCGCTAAATTTGACAATAAAATTAAAAAATTATCAAATAATTGATTTTCATTTTATTGCATATCATAATAATTAGAAATATTTAATAAAAAATTAAAGTGTATATAAAATTATAAAGATTATATAAATGGGTTACATTTTATAATAATTGTTAAATAATTTTGAAGGCTATTTTAATATAAAGCAAAAAATTGGGAAATATCCCAATATATTTAATTTTATCATAATTTTAAACATTATATTACAGCATTTATACAGCTATAGCTATATTATGATGAATCATATTTTTAAAGGTTATGCTTATCTAATCTAAATAATTGTCTAACGATATATATATATATATATATATATATATAATATTATAATTTTATTGTCGAAATTGTTAACTTTGAATATTATTATTTTATACAAAATTGAAATTACAAAATGAGTAATTATCTAATTTGACTAATTATTTATTTTAAATTTAATTACTTAATTTACACAATTGTTTGTAAATTAATGCAATTATTAATTGTTATTTGAGTTAACAAATGAAAGATTTCTCATTTCTTTGCCATCGGTGTTGGTCTCAATTCTTGTGATTGTTTTGGTGCTATTAATAGTTTAATACAATAAAAATATTAATAAAATTGATTATTCAATATTTTATATACAGGTATTAAATATCTATTGATAAAAATGCTTTTTTGTTGAATAATTATCATATAATTAAATTTATTTTAAATATCATAAAACTATTTCTATAATTTATCATTTTAATTGACATAAATTTATATAAATATTTTTATCTTATTGTCAATTTAATTATATAATACTGTATTTACTCAACAAAATAGTTTCAAAACTGAATATATGTTAATACTTTGCGAGAGAGAAATATTTTTGATTTTTGYCAAATATATTGCCTTCTTGTATAGTTTGCGGTAAATTGACATTCAATGTCTCGGGTAATAAAGTACTGATTACACTGAATATAATTGAAAGTAATCCCATTATGAATAATGATACCCAAATCGGTGCCTATGAATTACACAGTATAATAAAATATGAATATTAAATAATTAAAGATAATATACAGCATATTGTTTGAAAATATGATTTAGCTATAAAAGTTACCAGATATATGACGTGTGGTATAATAAATGTGGCCAATGATGAGATCATGGAGCCTACGCCCAGTCCCTGATTCCTAATGGCCGTGGGGTACATTTCAGCCCCCTGTTGGTAAACTACCATAAAACATAAGGTACTACAAAATTTACCAATCATTGCCATAATTGTGGTAAATGTTGAATACTCGGGCGGAAACAGCGATGGCACACACAATGATATACCGCATAGAAATAAAAACATTGAGAAAGTCCAGCGACGGCCTAATCGGGTTTCAATTGCGAACCAACCGACCAGATAGGCCGGGAACTCAACGACAGACAACAGGAAAAAATTAAGAAACTCATTGCCGGAAAAATTATATAAATTAAGTTGAATTCCGTAATAGACTGCCGCACAACAAACCCAATTACTCGTCAATATAAATATGTTTCTTCTGAGACCCGGATTCCTCATGAATACCATTATAGCGTTGTCTACCTTTTCGCTCTCATCTGAAGTCAAAGATTTGCTGACACTTTTCAATTTTGATATTAATTGTTGTGGTTGTGGTTTGCCATTAAGTTTTGCCATTTCCAGTAATTGTTTCTCTGCCTCTTCGTATTTATTATTAACTATTAGCCATCGCGGAGACTCCGGTAGTATTCTGTATTTATATATAAAGGCATTAGTTTTATATCTATTGATTAAAAATATTGTCTAAGTTTTATTACTTCCAGTAAAGAAAAAATATGATAATAGTTGCCGAAGAAATCATATTCAATAGCACCCAATCTCGGGTCAGATAAGCTATCAGTGCTAATAGACATTGACCTCCAACCCATGCTAAACATGCAACTGAATTCATGATAGTGCGAGCGCGCGGACCCACCGATTCAATAACTGTTTCAATTTTATACATTAAATTTTAATATATTATAATATTATCAATTAACTTACGTATAATAAATGGCAATTGATAAAATGATGGCAATAATAGTCCATTAATAGCACGAAATATAAGAAAACTTGTGGTATCTCTAAGAATAGTTGGACTCATTGTTGATATAATGCAAACAAAAACAGTCACCTGAAAGGTCTTTCTTCTTCCTATTCTATTAATTACAAAAAAAACTTTCATTTTTTTGTTAACAATTAATATTAAAAATATTAGAGTAACTTATCGGACAGCCATCCAAAAAATGGAGTTCCAATTATTGTACCGATACTTCCAATACTTAGTGCCAAATTGACATATTGACTTCTATCACATACTAGATCTAACTATTGATTTATTTAATTAAATAATTAACAATTTTAAATTTAAAAATATTTTTTTAAACAATTATTTAGTAAAATAAATCATTTTTTATATTTTCTGATTATATTCCTTTACATTAATTGTAAAAATATGAAAAATTAAATAAAATAGTAAATATTAAGTTAATAATCATATAATATTTAATACATACGGCAGTAGCGGCAGTGGCGTCATAATTGGTGGTGTCGTATACCCAGCCATTAGTACACGATTTGATCGGTAGTTCAGTTAAATTCATGTGTTGTTTATATATTGAAATATTGGCCACATTTGCCAAATAGTCGTAATCAATATCATACATATTACACGAGTCATGCTTTTTAACTCCATAACTGTCCACTACTAACGGACTAACTAATGATATTTGTTCATCAATTGTTAAATTAATAAATTGCCACACTTTGCACAAGTGTTTAGGTGTTGATACCTATTAATTATAATTATTAATTAATTTTTAAATATCATATTAATAGCTAAACCCTAAGTTAACGTACCATAAAAAGAGTTGTCATACAATAGAGTGGTAATAAAATAGCGGCCGCTATCAGGTATAACAATACAACTCTTTTTTGATAATAACCAAAATCTCCCACTTCTTCTAAAATATCTTCAAAATTCATGTCTTAAAACTTTGTTATTATAATTAAAAAAAAGTTAAGAAACTTTATCTCAATAAAATTATTAAAATGATGATTATCAAATTGTTACTATACTTTTTTATATTTTACTTTTATTTCATAAATACAAATTTATTGATATTATAGTTTACTGTATTATTTGATGAGGAAGTCTAAACAAATTGAGTTAAAAACCAAATCATAAATTAATTTAACATTAAATATTTATGGCAGATATTTATTTGATTAAAACTTGTCATACAAAATACAATCTCTAAAATGTTATCAAGGTCTGTTAATTGATGAATTATTTACAATTTAAAACATTAAATCAAGCGATAAACTATTATAAATTTATAGATATAAACTATATTCATAATAACAATGCATGATTTTATATTTTATAAATTATAATAATAAAATAAAAATTGTTTGTTTAATATATGCTGTGTTTGTTTTTTAATGATTTTGTTTTGTAATTCAAATTTTAATTTAACATAATGATTAAAACTAACTTGGTGCTATATAAATTTTCAAACGTTACTAAAATAAAAAAATTACAAAAATTTTCCAAATAATATTTTTTAAATTAGAAAACTTTAATCTTTCTAAATAAAAAAAGTGTAACATATTTATAAATTAAATAAACACTATAAACATATGTAAACTTTAATCATTTTTATCAAATTATTTTATTGAATAATTTATGTTTATAATATTTTTTATTTATTTAATTTTGTTTTAATCAATAAAATATATAAACAAATTTAATTGTCTGAAGGACTTTTATCAACTTTTTTCAAAAATATTAATCCATTAATTAAAATAATAATATTAATTAAATTTTTTTGTAAACAAATAATTAAATAAAAATGATTGACTTATTTTTCTAAGTAATTAAACAAATTTTATAAAAAAATAAATATTAATTTGTCTAAAATGTACAATTTCCGCAACTATTATGAAAACAATAAAACTAATAAAACTACAGTAAGATTACACATAACTATTATTTTTTGAAAAAGTAATTACTTAATAATTTTGGTTTCGCTGAATGATTTCAATTAAATTATTGTTATTAATGTATTATTGTTATAATTAAAATATTTGAGTTTTAAAAATTATGTTAATAGTAAAATTAGAGCGATAATTTACATATTGTACAAATTAAAATATTTGTTAAATAACATTAATTAAAATTTATTATTTTTAAATATTTCACAACAACATTATTATACAATATCTTTATATAAATACAAATTTTCAAATAATTTATGTAAGATTTAAATTTATCTACTATTTTATAATTATAGCACAATTTATAGGATTATTATTAACGTGTATATCATTTTATTAACATTTGTAAAAATATTAATCAAAAATTAATTAATAATTAATAAATTAAATTCTTTGCACATATAAAAAAAATTTTGATCATCAAAATTAAATTAAATTTTTAATTTAGATAATATATAAAGAGTATGGTTTGTAATGAGTCCTAAGGGAGTGAAGTTCTCTAATAAAATCCCTCCAATTTTATCGGAAAATATGAAACATATTTTATTTTCCTTCCCTAATACGTTAGATGGGAAAATATAATTTATATTATTACAATAAATAGTACCAAAACTTTAATATTTTGAATAAAATTTAACTGAAATATTTAAAAATAAATTTCAAATTGATAAATTTAGTCATATTATTTATCAAATGGAGTTTAATATAACATTTGTTTTTCAAACATTATAATAAAATGTGTTGTTTAGGGTTCAATATGTGGTAACACAAAGAAATAGATTTCCTAGGAGTTCCCAGGGAACAGGCAAAATAGGAAACTTTTGAATAATAAGACGAGGGAGGGAATCATTACAAACCCTAATTAAGAGTAATTATTTACTTATTTAAATGTCAACTAATGTTAAATTTTATAGTTTAAAAAAAAAGATGTTAAAAGTTAACTTTTAGACAGTTGTTGTGTATTTTTTTCACGTATAGTTTGCTGATGAGGTAATACTGATACCAATCCCGTATAGTATTCATCGAAAGATCGCACAATTGTTGCCCTAAAAATTATTTAAAGATTATAAAATGTCAAAATTAAACTGCAATTAACCAATTAATTTGTTGCCATTGTTTGATAACTTACTCAAATTGAACATAACCTCTGGTTCCCGGGTATGGCACCCATATTAGAGATGCCTGTCGTTTGGATTTAGGATTGGTATGTGTAATGGCAGAACAGGGTAATATATCAGTTCCTAATAACATGATATTAACATAAATTAATATCTTTACAAATATAATACAAAGTTATACCTTTAAATCTAACCCAATTACCGATGGGTTTACCCGTTAAGGGATCGATGGCTTTAATGATGAACCCTTTGAACAGTTCACCGCCCAATTCAACTGTATTTTCAATCATATCATTTAAAATGTAAATGCATTACAAAATAAACATTAATAATACTTAAAAAGATTTATCAAAAAATGTCATAAAGTTCTGATTCATTCAATTATTATTATTATTATTTTATATTATATTATTAGGGGTGTTTTAGTCTATTAATTAAATCATTTAATAATTATAAGGTTATAAATTTTATCATTAATAATAATATATTTTGGCATAAATATACATAATTGTTTATAAGACACAAACATTAAAAATAAATCATTTTTTAATTGTTGTCATTTGAAGGGTCACTATATTGAAGGGTTTGTTATTAAAAAGGTTTTTACTTTCACTAACATATAATATGTGTCAATGTAATCTCTATGCAAATCAGATTATAATTATAACAATAATAAAATTTAATAAGTATTTTATATTATAATTAAATAATAAGTTTATTTAGTTTTTAAAACAAATATTATTATTTTTTTATAAAATAATGTATTTTTGACATTTACTTAAAGTTGAGACATATCTAACAAACCATAAAATAGATTTATACATGTTTTTCCTAAATATTATTATTTCCGGATAAAATTATTTCGAAACAAACTTAATAAACATTTCATTAAACTATTAATAATATTATATTAATTTTGTGATTTTAATGAAGTATTTATTTGAATAAAATATATTATAACGAAATCTTAAAATAAACATCTAATAATATACAGAATCAATAAATAATCATAAAATATAAAAATACTAAACTATATTAAAGAATATTTATTATAACAATTTAAACAAATTTTTAATCAATAATATAATGGATTAATCATCACTGAATGCAAATAATAAAAAATAAGAAAAGTTATGTAATGACATGACATATAAAAAACTTTAATAAAACAGTATTTTAACGAAAAAAGTATATAATAAGTACAATAATATTAAGTACTTGAATATAAATGATGACAGAGATACTAATAAATCCTGGTTCAATATGTATCAAATATAATCACTATATATATAACTATTATATTAGTCAAAACTGATAGACAATAGCTGATCTTATATAATATATTTAAGTTAAATCTAAAATAAAGATAAATGCAACTAATTTAGTTATAATGTGTTATAACTTAAAGCATTTATATAATGATATAAACGTGACTTTTGCTTAAAGCATACTTTCATAAGTTATAAATTAATTGAGTTTATAATAAGTTCAGAGTATTTCAAAAATAGTAACCTTTAATGCCTTTAACTCGACCGTCAATATTGTTGTCCCCATAATTGTTGGACGACTGTACCAAATAATAAGGCGATTCGTTTGAGTTTAAAGCCCGAGTGCCCACATGTCGAGGGGTTAGTGAATCACAAACATCTACCGGAGCTCCCGATGGAAATGTTTGACATAATTGACATATAATTATTAATATCACTAACAATAACAAATTTATCATATTAAACACTGAACTTAGTGTATTGACATTTATAAACATTTTTTTATAAATCGTTAAACAAAAATAAATATAAATTTTACAATTATGATATTATTAAGTGATGATAAAAATATATTATTAATTTATAAATTATTGAGATTTCATAGCATTTTAAAAACTTTTATTGATTATTATTAGGACAAATGTTTCGAAATAAATGATGAAAATATTAATAAACAAAACACTTATAATTGATTTTTTTGAAAATATAGATTTAGTATTTTTTACTTATTTAAAAAAAATAAATAATATTTCATTGAAAATTTTAAAGACTCTTAATATAGTTTGTAAAAATCAACTTTAGTAAAATCAATAGTTGTATAAAATAAGAGTAATATTATTTATATAATAATAATAACAAAAATTCATTCATTTAATATTTAAAGTTAATATTTAACAATATCTATATAACGTATTGACCCACAAAAGTCAGCCTTTCTTTTAACTGTTTGTGTGCGCCTACCTATCAGTCAGCACTTGTATGTCTATGTTATGTGAAATAAATCACAAAATACTTTCTTTAGTAATTTAAAAGCTTTTATGAGTTTCACACTATCCTAACCACAGTTTAACCAACAAAAATAAGACATTTTAAAATAGTATTATTATTGAGTTACTATTAGTTATTTTTAAATAGATAATTATAAAATATTGATTATTATGTTTTAAAATATATTTAAAATATTTTTTAATTATCGATTTTTAAAAATTATAATTGTTTACTATTATATTACTGCTAATAATATTTTTCATATATAAATTATAATTAATTTTATATATTTATAAATAACTTTCGAGTATTTATTGAATTAATCTTAATTAATTTATAAGTACATAGATATTGGTGCATTAAGTTAATTTTTAGTTATAAAATAATTTGTGAAAAATAGATATCAAAATATACTAATAATGAGTAAATCTTTATGGTTAACATTGGATAAATAATAATTTAGATAAAATGATATTTATTAATAATTTCTTTAATTAAAGACATCTAAAAGTTAATTTTTTTAACAAAAGGTTGTTTAAATTAGAAATTAGATAATTGTATTGTTTGTAGAGAGAGAGAGAGAGAGAGAGAGAGAGAGAGAGAGAGAGAGAGAGAGAGAGAGAGAAATTTTAGGTATTAAAAAAATTATATAATATGATATACTGTACATTACATTAAGTGATTATTGTATTGATTTACTGTATTGTAATTGTCTATTAATTTTTAATGACTCACGTTTATTGCAAACGTTTACAAAATAATTAAATATAATTACTTAATAAAAAACTGTAATTACTTTAAATATTATGATATATATATATAATGATATATAAAATTATCAACATGTTTTTACTTTAGTTTTAAATGATTTAAATATAATATATTATAATATATTACTGAATTTAAAAATGAAAAATTCTAAATAATTTTATAGCTATTGCTGTAATTTATTAAAAAAACAGAATATGTTTTTTCATTTTTTCTCTAATAATAATTATTAATTGTAATTTATCTTTAATTGATTTTTAAGATGCAATTTTGGTTAAAACATTTTAAATAACAGAATAAATAAATAATTAATATAATTAAATAATTACTATAAATATTTTATTATCAAAATTAGTACAGTGTATTGCTTTATTTACAAACATTTATTATCAAGTAATTTTTTATACATGTTTTGTTTTTTATTATATAAAATTATAAAGTAATAAATTACAATTTATATCCTGTAAATGTTATAACAATGCAATACTATTCATTATATAAAAATATTTTTAATAAAATACATTAAACTTAAACATATTATGTCATATCACTAAAGATAAGATTTTAAATGAAATGCAGAATTTAAATGAAAGGGATTTTAGGGCTTTTCTTTCATTAAAATTATTACTAATAATAAGATAAAATGTGAGAAAATTAATACATCATAATATCATTGATTGAGTGTTTAGTGACAATAATTGACAATTTTGGTTATCTTTTGTTTCATATTCATATTATTTTTTTACAAATCAAACAAAATTTGTTTGGTTTGAGTATGCATTTGCTTATAATTATGTTGCAATTAAATTAAAATAAATAAATAATAATAATAACAATAAACACAACGAATTGTCAACAGTTTAACCAACAAAAGACCAGAGTTTGCTTATTACACAACCATTGATAGTATATTGAAAGGGATGGCCTTCAGGTGTAGGTTGAAGTCAATAGAAGTCAACTTAAATATTATTTAAATGATCAAAAAACAACATTTAAGATAAATCACGTTTTGTTGATCTCAAATATATATATATAAGTATCATATATTATGTAATTTTTTTGTATATATGCTTCTACCAAATCTATAAATTAAAAATAAAAATTATGAAATTTATATTGATAAAATATGAATTAATTATATTGTTATATACCGGGGTCTGCCAGCAATAGCACTCTCCTTATCCATCCTTTCCAAGTAATCCCTAATCGCTTGACTCCTATGTTGTAATACAACATCAGTGAAGCTATTGTCAGAAATGCTATTTCTTATGCTTATATGTCTTGGAAGTGCTTCCGCTGACAATAACATCGAAGTCAACAATACAAATGTCAAACAAATATTCATAAAATTCATTGCAATTAAATTGTTTATTATATATCCAATGGACATGTAGTCAAAAGTTCAATACGAGTTTGAGTAACTGTGTGATGATATACCTGTTTTTATATTAAATATATAGTACATTAAACATAGAGTATATGAGATTAAAATAATTGAGTGTCGATATAGTGACTTACCTTTCTATCAATCAAATGATACTGTAGTTGACTGTAAGCGGGAAAACCTATTTAATTGTTTATTGGCATTAATTTATCTTTTTATTCTTATAATTATAACTTTTTTTTATAAATTTATTGTAATCATTGAGAAACACATGATTATTGAATTAAGCCATATATGAAATTGATATAAAATCTTCAAATTATTGATATATTTGTTTTTATTGATAATATGTTGATATTTATATACCGGTATATTATAAGTTTGTTTTACAAAATTTAATGAAAACAACTTTTCTCGAAAATACTTATACTATTTATTAACTATTTATACTAAAGTTTTTTATATAACCTTTTTATATAAGAATTAAACAATAAAAGTGCGTTTGTCTGCAAAACTACGTATGTTTTCATACAATTGTTATATAACTGAAGGATCACTTAAATAAAAGTGTTTAATGTCACTGATATTTATCGACACAAATGTTATAAAATACTGTAATAAATAATGTAATATCGATAGTAAACTACAATATTGTTAGATAATACTATAAATTATTTATTTGGTATAATAAAAAAGATAACAATCTAATTAAACAATTTTAAATATAAATTTTAGAAATTCTAGTAAAATATTTGTTATTTATAAAACAGTAAAATTGTAACTAAAATAAAAATTTTATTTGTAATCTATTTCATTTATATCTAATTAAAAAATTTAATTTATAATTTAACATAAATCACCTGATTTTATTTTATTATATTTTAATTATATTATTTTACTGTATATAACCTACAATAAATAAATAAAATTTGGTTCACATATTTAATAATTTATATATTTTATGAAATTTTACAATACATTTATATATTCATTAATTGTATAAAATAATTTAATGGTTTTAAATTATTAATTAATTAATACTTTCAATTTATTATAATTCATGTTAATCACTAGTAAGTTATTAAAAAAATTTTTGTTAACACTACTTTATCTGTAACTTAAATTTATAATTTATATTTTTTAATAATTTATACTTAATATATTCTACATTAATATACGGTATCTTTAATATTATGACTAATAAATGCATTCAATTTGTAAGTTGTTTGTGTTTTACACTGTATTTACAGAAGATTTATATACAGTAATTAATATTAAATTAAATAGCATTATGTTATTGGTATAATAACAAAAATTTAAATTTATTGTTTTATATACTTCAAACATAAAAATATACAAAAAATTATTTGATGTTTAAAATGTAAAAATAATCAATTTATTAAATACAAGTATTTATGGACATAAAAACTTATCAAATAAATAAATTATTGATAAGTAATTAATTTTTAATTTTGACAGATATCTATAATTTCAGTAATTTATTGATAAAATTATATAAATATCTTTATTTATTTGATTTACAAACACTTAATTTATTAAAATTCTTATATCCAATATTTATAAAATTAAAAAACTGAACTTAAGTTTTGTTTTTCAATTATTATAAATATCAAATTAATTGTCAATTAATATTTTTTTAAATATAAATAAATTGTTACTAATATTAAAAAAACAATTATATTTTTAATTATTATAAACTTATAAATTTGTATTATTGGTATTAAATTATAAAAATGAGTAAAAACCTGACAGTTTTGTTTGCACCGATCAATTTGGTCGGACCAGTAAATGCCTCCATAGGTATCGCTCAAGTATTACAACATTTCGGACATCGGATTGTATTTGCTGTAAGAAGTGAATGGAAAGGCAAACTTGCAATTCATAATTTTGAAGAAGAAATTATTGGAACAAATGTGAACAATGACGGCGAGGGATCCGCTAAACAAAATGTTGAAGACTTTCAATCATTGTTTGGCAATAAGTCACGTCTGGAGAAACTCAAGTGTGTTAACAAAGATATAGTTTCTCATCTGTTTCAAGAAGTTCAAGAAAATGAACCATTTTTAGAGGACATCGTCACTCGTATTAAACCCGATGTTATTATTGCCGATCAAATAAGTCTTATCCCATCACTTATGTGTTCGGACATACCGTGGGTTTTGGTAATGACTTGCAATCCATTGTCCTTTCAATACGCCATCGATGATCATAAACTTCCGCCGACAGCTTTGGGTAATACATGAGTATTAATGAATATACATAACTATAATAATAATACTAATAATATATTTATTGTTTAATATATTCAATAGGATTGCCAACAAATGGTGATCCAAATGAATGGAATAAATTAAAGAAAGAAATAAATGAATCCATTAGTGATGAATGGAATCAATACAACCAATGGATTACATCAAAAGGCATACCAAGTCTACAACAATACAAACTGATAACTCCTTCACCATATCTTAACATTTATATATTTCCTGAAGAACTTGATTATACAGATATTAGACCATTGGCTGAAAATTTTCATCGATTTGATTACTTTAAAAGATCGGGTAATGAGGAAGTGTTTGAAATACCGGAAAAGTTAGAAAACAAATCGGGAAAATTGATATATTTGTCAATGGGTTCAATGGGTAGCGGAGACGTTCAACTAATGAAGCGATTGATCTCTATTTTGGCCAAATCGCGGCATCAGTTTATTGTGTCGATGGGACAAAATGGCGATCAGTACGAGTTAGCCGACAATATGTGGGGCCAAAAGTATTTGCCACAAATCAAAGTGTTAGCCACTGTTGATATGGTCATCACTCACGGCGGCAATAATACTCTGACCGAGACTTTCTATTTCGGTAAACCTTTTCTAGTGATGCCCTTATTCTTTGATCAGTTCGATAACGCACAGAGAGTTGAGGAAAAAGGGTTTGCCATACAAATGGATCCATACAACTGTACTGAACAACAACTTCTGGATGCAATTGAGACAACACTGACTAATGAGAGTTTCAACCATAAAATGATGAAAGCATCGCAAAGAATACAAAAAGACAAAAATTTAATGAAATTACCAAAACTTTTACAAAGTCTAGTCAAATGATTAATTAAATGATTAGTATTTTAATTATAAATTTTTAATTAAACTTATATCTCAATAAATAATATTACGAAATAAAAATAGATTTTATAAAATAATTTTGTAACAATGTTATATAATTGTTTACTAAAACTTAATAAACCAAATATTAGTTTAGTATTTGGTGATTATTAATGACTAAATCAATTGTTTACAGATTATCTAACAACTATATAATAAAATATCAAATAATTACTTTTAGATATTTTTGGATATATGTTAAAATTGATTTTTTGTGTTTATATTGTACAAAAATCATTTTAAATTAGTAAATCCAATATTATATAATATAATAATTGACAATAAAATTTCTATTTTTTCAAAGTCAAGCCTAAGGGTGTATACTATACACTGTATAGATAGTATGAAAATAAATTATTTTGTATCACTAACTTAGGTGACCTCTATTATAATTTTATCTATTTTTATTAAGATTTCAATATATATTTTTAAATGCATTTGTATATATTTGTAAAATATAAAGATTATTTTTTGCATGACCATGAAAATCACATCATTTAATATTTAAAATAATAGTGTTTTTATATTTAATAGTTGGAAAAGATTGTTAAACTATTTTATATAAATATATATAAATGTAGATATATCAATAAAAATAGTTAACAACATTAATAATTTTTTAATTAAAATTTTAAATATATGTAATTTTTAATTTTGCATAACAAAGTTAAGATTAGAAAATTAATTAATTACAAAAACATAATTACTATTTACATATTATATAATTATTTGTAACATTTTAATTTATAAATATATTTTTTACTTAAATTTAATTTATATTACTGTGTAATATATTTATTTTAAAAATATAATATGTTATGTGTCGATCAAACCTTTGAAGTAAATATTAAAAACAATTAACTAAACTTTTAATAATGAAAATGCATTCAGATATGACATGTTTTTCTTTTTTATAATTGTATTTTAAAATGAAGTTAAACATTAAACAAACAAACAAACAAAATCAAGTTATAGTAATAGTTAAAAGTTAATATTTTTTACAAAAATTTACAAAATATAGTGAAATTTATAAATTTTTAACTAACAAAGCGGTAATGAGATCTAAGAAATTGTAATTTAAAATAATAAATAATAATATATTAATTTTAAAGATCATATTTGGGTCAATACAGTGCTGTTCTTTAAGGGAACAGTCAGGCGAATGACCGTCGAGTGAGAGCAAAGAGATTGAGAAGCAATCGCACCGATAGATAGGGAAATGTCCCAAATATTGCATTATTCATAGCATACTGTACTTTGAATGTTATAAGACCTGCAAACCTGTCTTCTCTTTTATTACCAACACTTGTCATCGTTTGGATGATAGACTCTCACACTTACAGGAGAGACACCAATCGATAAATTGTTTTTTATTTGTTAATAATAGCAGTCATATAAAGTTTATTAAAAGTTTTTAACATTTTATTTTTGTTAAACACTTTTCTCAATAATGTATCAAAAAATTATTTTAATAAATATATTTTTAATAACTTTAGGTAAGAAAATTAACAATTAATCAATTTAATCAATTGTTTATTTAGAGTTAAATTAAATTAGTTAAATATTTTTAAATATATTTATAAACTTATAGTTAATTTAAGTGTTTGTGCGCCAAAAAATAAGACAAAATGTGATATAAAAGTAATGGACAGATGCGGTGCCACAGTCTTTGTGTTCGGCAAACGGTCCGTATATTTACCCGTAAATGAGGCCGAAATGGTTCCGCACTGTCAGTGAGTTAACTGATTTTTTGGATGACATTGTTTTCACAAAAATAATTGTTATAATTATAAAATCTAGAGAAGAATTTGAAGCCGAAACGTGTGTTAAAAACTACGCCCGAAAATGTTTGGCTCCCTTTCCCCGACAAATCATAGGAATTTTACTCCAAGGTCTTATCATTTGAGTTTTTTAAATAAATATTTTAATTGTATAAAATCTCAAATACAGGCGCCTCACAAGTGATTCACAGTAGATGTAAACCAGAGGGTGTTAAAGGTATTCAATGATATAATTTGTGACATTTTTTTGTAAAAATATATATTAATTGTATTTATATTTTTCATTCATTTCATCAGATTATTTATCGCATAAGAATTGTATTGCGACGACAATCTCTGATTTGCACGACTGTATGGATCAGTTAGTATTGGGATTGAATGCCATCGCCAAAGCACCAGCTGATGATAGGATACCAATGGCTTGTTGTGCTTTTGGCCGATACCAACACTGCTCAATACAACCCATTAAAAACAAGTGTACGGATGACCCAAAAGCTGTAGAATATATTGGCATTAAAATGATTAAAGGTATCAAAAATTGCTTTACTTAAAAATTTATGCAACAAATAATAAATTGTAAATACAATTAAGGTTATGCAAGTGAGGTACTGGACCTGGCGTGTCAAGGGTTTGAATGGGGAGGTGATAAATGTAATAAAATAAAAGTGCCCGACGGGGGGCTCGTATATCGTGACGGAAAAATTGTTAATATTAACAAAAATAACACTAAAAAAACAAAATCATATTCACTTTTGCCCCCATTTATTAATATATTTACTAAACTTTAATAATTTAAATTATTTATAATAAACAATACTTATTTTAGAATTATTATAGTAGATTATTTATCAAAAACTAAAAATTTTTACAATATATAAATTATTTTAATTTGTAAATATTTTTTAATTAACAATGAACATAATTTATTATGTAATTTTTCTATAATCAATTTAGTTATATAATTAAAATATTAGACAAATTTTAATTTAGATTACAGTAAGTATACTATATATTTATTAATTGTATAATTAAAAAAAATATTTGAATGTTAATCCATAATACCATGTTTTATAATAATTATAAGTTTTAAAAAATAAAGTTATGTTTCTAAGCTATTAATAATTCTTTACAGAGCTATCTAAAGACTAAAATAAATACTACATATCTTTTAATTCTCATAAATAAAAATTTTATTATTTTTAAATTATTGTATAACTAATAAATTTATTGTCATATTATATTATTGTGAATTTTGTAAAATTTATTATTTAATTTTAGAAATTAGTTAAATTAGATATTTTTGCATTAGTTGTTTCCGATGCAAATTGTTTAAATAATATGGCGTAAGTATATAGAAATACAACAGCTTTGGCCATAAAATCGTAATCCAAATATATTAAACCTAACAATGAAAAGTTGGCATATTTTGATAATAGTCCCGGCACCATTAGTTGAAACTATACAATATATATAAAATATATAAATTTATATACTATTAGTTTAAATAATATTAATTATTAGTATTAATTGATTATAAGTATTACTTCTTCATAATATATAGCAGTTCTATCTTCAGGTTTAGTGGATAACACATATTTATAGAGAAGATTCTTAGTATTCATCGAGTTTTCATTGACATCAGCTGTTTGTTTGATTGTATAAAACAATGAGAACATCATAATAGCCACGAAAGCACAGGCAAACAATCCATTCTTAAGATTATCTTCTTTAAAATGTCTCAACACTTCCTCTATTTCGACGACAATACCAAAGAATAAGAGCACAAAATAGCCGAAAATAAATATATTAAAAATCTCATCAATTTTGCTCACATCACTCATATTGTCTCTATACCTGTTCAAACATATTATCATTAAGTTATTATTTTTAATAAATATAATAAAGTTAATGATAATAATAATAATATCAGATTTACCATATTTTGATGATTTCTAAATGACTTAATTCTGGTTTACATTTTCTCTTAATCAATGTTTCGATATAGAAGTTCAAGTGTTGAAACTTAAACTTCATTATCCAACACAGGGCTACATACAAGACCATCACAAACAATACCACATATAATGAATATATAGCCATAAATGTAAATACTTTGTCCGTCCATACGGTTGATGAATGAGTATTAATGGCCACTACTATGACTATAGCAATGTATGTGAAAGACAATAACATCAGCAATAAGACAAATATCGTCAAAATTATTAATTTTATGCGATATTTGAGTTTAAAATATTTGTAATTCAGAAGAATTGTTTGATCCAATTCTGGTGTCTTATCCAATGAATTAATCAGTTTTCTTAGTGTTATTCTGTATATCCAAATGAGATCCAATGCCAAAACACCTGACAAACTATAGATAAATGCAAGAATCTCATCCCAAAGCTGATCGTTAATAGTTCCCAATTGAAAGATATGAAAGCCAACCCTCACCAGACAGTAGATACAAATTGAGTGAACAAAAAATACCATACAAAATGAATAGATCTTTTTAATGATAAAAAAAACTAATTTAGGTTTCATTACAATAATTTAGTATTTATTATAATACAGTAAATGACATACATTTGTAAGTCCATATCGGCTCAAAAATTTGATTGTCTTATCGGGATCTTTAAGACAATAAAATATTGGCGCACCCGTCAATGCAAATGGATATAATATACGGCGAATCATATGATAATAACTGAAGTCTTTTTTTATATCATTCATATTAATTGAAGACAACTGTTCCGATAATACAGTCCCAACTGAACCATTGACTTCGTTATTCTTCTCACTATTTTCTTCGTTATTGTAATTATTTTCAGTAGTATTATGTTTAAGTTGATGGTCTTCATCGTAATCCATATATTTCATTGAAATCTGATCCTCGGCTGTCATATCTGTGGCCGATAAATAAATTCGTTTGTTTTTATTAGCCATTATTTGTATTAAACAATGGCTTAATTATATCAATTTATTAAATAAATATATATTACATAACAAATCATTATACAATATTTTTAATTTATTTATTTAATTTTTGATTGATAATTGCTTGACAATTATCTCATCAATTTATTGTATTATAACATTTTATAAAATAATTATGTTTATAATGATTAGGCAAAAACAAATAAATAGTTACAAAATATAAATACAATGAGTAATATTCAATAATCTGATAAAATGATATTTTTAATAATAGATTTGTTAAATAGTTTCGTAATTATAGAAACCTTTTCCTAATCTATAAGCAATTACAATGAGTATGATTTGTATAATTATAGAGAGTATGGATATTACTATTAAACTTAATACTCGATAACTATATCTATTAGTGATGGCCTCAACACATCCCGGTGTTTGGCTAACTCTACGGGAATTACAGTCCGATAGCGTAGGCTTTAAGTCGTGACAACAGGAAAAAGGATATTTGATTGGAGTTTGATTGAAGCGTTCATTAAGCTGCCAGTCCTCAGGTTTATGAGACCCACAACATCTTAATACATATTGTAAGTGATCGATGTCTGACATTTGGTTAACCTCTTGATATGTGTCCATAACTTTGTAGTGTTTTATAGCATATGTGATACGTTTGTCACCGATATCTGCCAATTCATTTGAGAAACGGGCGGCTAATGTGATGGCAATCAGTTGGACTAATATTAAGAGTACATTAATAACACCAAAAAAATATAACAATCGGTAGTCATTAACAATAGCGGCACAGTTGGCTATCATGAAGACCATAACAATGACAGCGCCCACTGACATAAATATTATTACCATAGAGTTTGGTAACTCCTTTATAACCATTTCCATACCGTCGCCAATAATTAATTTATAATTAACTTTAAGTATAGTTCCCATCACTACCAGTGCTAATCCCAGCAAAAACCAAATACCATTAAATAAAATAAACAAACATTTAATTAATGATAACTTTTTGTTAGATTGGGAGTGCATTTTCACCGAGATTTTTGGTATATTTGCAAAATTATTAAAACTTTTAAATACATATAATATGAAACAATGAAATGACACGATTGACAAACAAATATTTATATTTATATATAAAAAACTTTTCAAAGGAAGACAAAGTGATTAATAGTAAACTTTAAAATTTTACTCATTTTCCCGGATATCATATCTAAAGTATTCATATTATACTATTGTATAGTTAATATATTTGTATTTACTAAATAATAAATACATTTTACTCGTATTATCTAATAATATCCTATTAATATTTTAAATGCAGAATTTTACTTTTAGTATACGTTAATCAAACTATTATAGGGAATAATTTAAACGAGTAATTAAATTAAAGTTTGCAATAAAAACTGATATAATAATCAATAGTTGTTTGAGAATTAGGAATACTAAAAATCTTAAATATTAATTTACCGGTAATAATAAATTATATACAAATAGTTTGTCAATTAATAACCGGAATATTATTAATAATCACATTTAAAATGTATGGAAATAAATATTTATCAAAAATAGACTTAAAATATAGATTTAAATGTAAGACAAAAAGCAAATTGATTGAAACAATTAATAAAATGTTAATTATTTTGAGTATTAACTTATAGACAATAATTAATTATCATTTTGAACTCTCAATTTCTTTGAAGCATTAGTATCGTTGTCCTTATGAAATATTGGCAAACATACGGCACATAACCACTCATCTGACTTTAAATTTCCACATTTTCCGTGAATAGCTTGACTACCGCATCCGTCACATGCAAACAGTTCCCAATGATTGTCACCATTATATTCTCTGCCTTTCTTCGAGAAACACATCTCTGCTGAGCACTTGTGGCTACGATCATAAAGATCGGCAAAATTGTTGCCGTCCTCCCAACTCGCGTCACGTGAAGGCACATGTATACCAAAGTCTTTCATTTCAATGATAAACTCATCCCTATTGTTACAATTGGGACATTTGAAGTGATGTTTTCCCTGATGGTAGGCCTGTTTAATAACACACTCTCTGTGCAACCAATGTCCACAACAGGGCGTCCATAAAGTTTTCGGTGTCGGCTTACAAACTACTTGTTCGCGACAATTGGCACACAAATCATCTGTAGATTCCTTTTTAGGATCTGTTCGTTGAATGGATCGATGTTTTATACAATAAGAGGGAAAATTTTTCTTCGGATCGTGAAATGAATGGTAAGAGTCGTGAATCAGACCGCACGGCAAGTGAAAGACGACTCGACAATCGTTTCGATAACAGCCGATAACAGCACCTCTTTTGTGACAATAAGTACAAAATAGTTGTCGACCTCTGCGGACCTCTTTCTGTATGTCTTCTTCGAGAAATCCTTTGAAACCCTCATCGATTCGACCATTTTGTTGAAGTCCTGGACTAAATAAGATACAGTAATAGTGGGCCGATATGTCTCCTCTGGTCATAAGTTTGCCCAAAAAGTATTTGTTTTTTGTGACATAACCACAGAATATACACTTCGGTCCTAAATATAACCACAAATAGATATCACCGATGGATTGGTTTAAAATATTTAACCAAATGTTTACTTACTTTCTGGTTTGTTATCTTCTTCTTTATTATTATCCATTACTTCTCGCTTTCGTTTATTTGTCTTTGTCTTAGCCATCGATGTGACCGCAGATGAGATATATTTTATTAATGACTTAAATCAGTGATAGTATTGTATTGTTTGTAGTAATCATTGAATCACTCACTCTATTAGTCTCTCAATTGGCGCTCAAAATACAGCCATTAGTTCATTGAAAATATCAATTCAAATGATTCGATACTTCATTGGATGAAATTATACAAGAATTACATACTTCATGAGGCCATCAATATATGCTACTATAAGTGAAAACTAAACCAAAAATTTCATGGATGCTATACGTATGACTAGTTATATTAAATTACTTTATTTATTAATTTTTAATAAAAAGATGTTAATAATTTTTATTATTAATTTACTAAAATATATTTTTATAGTATTACTAAAATAATATTTTTTTAATTATAATAAATAATGATTTATTTAATAATATAAATGAATATTTTTATAATTTATTTTTTTAAAAAATCAAACATTAATTATTATTACAAAATATCACAATATTTGTGAATAAACTTAAAACTATGGCGCGATTTTTAAAAATGTATAAAATAAATAACAATATAAATGTTAAACAATTGAATTAATCAAGTAAATTATATATATCTTTATATAATTTAATAATGTTAAAATTTTTTAAAATATAATATTGATAGTTTAAGTTGTAATAAATATTAAAATGACAATAAAAATGAATTTATTAAATAGCTATTAGATTATAAAAATACTAATTAAATATTGACTAATTATTTGCGATAAAATAAGATAATACAGCATTTATAAAATTAATAATTAAAATAAATATTAAAATAAAATTGCAATTAAATTAAAACTTTTGGACAACAGATTGGTCTTCAATAACCAAATTGGTTTGACTTTGTTTAAGTTGTCTCTTATGAAAGACAATAACCAAATTAATGACAATCATTATTATTACACAACAAACGGCACATAAAAGTGATGCAAAAATCAATGATAACGGATAGGACTGGATATAGTTGGCAATTGCCAGCGGAACAAACACACTGCCCAATGTCCCGGACATATTCAGTATACCACATACCTGTCCACATTTCATTTAATTATAATTATTTTATATTAATCAATATTACAAATAATAAGATAATACCATTGAATTCATAGTTATAGCGTTTTCCATCAGAGCATAGAGTGATGCTATGATACTGGATAAGCCAATACCTATCATTTATTTAAAAAATATGTTTAAATTATAATTTATTTTAATTTTAAATTATATTTATAATTTATAATTTATATATAATCACCTAAAAGGCAAACACCAAACCAAAACATAGTGAGAGATGTGTTGGAAAAAATTGCCAAAACTATGAGTGAAATGACAATTACTGTCAAATTCATGTATAACATTGTAAAGTGTCTGAGCTTTAGTGCCAATACAATGCTAACAGCTTTGCCGATAACATTAGATAAGTTGAATATTGAGGTAAGGAAAGCACCGGCAGATTTGGTTAAGTGGAGGTCAATGTTGGCCGAGAAAGAGGCCAAATAAGTGACCACTACTTCTTCGAAGAAGAACAGGTAGAATAAGGAACACAATATTATTATTGTATATTTGTATGACTTTGGTTCATGTCTTTTGGATTCATTGGATTCATTATGACTATTCTCTTCATATTTTTCAATGCTCTCAATTCGTGACAACTTGTCGTCAAAACTCTTGCTTTTTGAGATAATATTGTCTTGAGATGAAGCCATTGCTATATTAGTAGACCTTCTCTGTCTTAAGGTATATAAGTATTGAAATATTATCAAAACAGATGCAAATACCAACATTAAGCCGTTAATCATATAAGGTATGTAAATATATGACTTATTTTCTTCATTTTCTACAGTTTTATCTTTAAATGAAAATTTTTCTGAATTATTTGAACTCAAAATGATTGCTTCATCAGTCATTGATGTTGGAGTTGTTAGTATATTGTTGGCTTCTGGAGCTAGAAATGGTTCGGCAATAATTGGACCCAATATATAGCCCAGTCCTCTAAAGAATTGAAGCGCTTGCATATATGGTGCACAGGCATCGGTCCATATCTCTAAAACCCAGGCTTCACAACCATTAATAGCAGCACCGGATGTGACACCAATAATGAAGTGAAGGACTATAAAGAGGTAATAATCTTTGATAGACGTGACAAATGATACGATAATTCCAAGCACCACAAGAATGGTAGCCATCGCCAGTTGCTTAGGTATCCATTTGAATACAAATCCACCTGTTTATTGACAATTGTTTAAATAAATTAAATATAATTCATTTTTATTATATCATAAATTTATTATATCATGTATTATCCCTAAAAATATTATAATGTAATGACATATGAGTGAAAAGTAGCGCTAATCTTGTAAATGAAATTAATGATAAATATGAGAGTATATGTATGATCTAAATGCACACTTCCCTTATGTATACCCCATAATATTTTTCATTGAATTCTTGTTTGTTTGTTTGACTGGACTTCGGCGACACTCAGTTGTTAAGCACTGGACCCGTTGACCGCCGCCGACATAACGTCCCACTTATAAGTCTCTCTTATTATATGATTTTTGTTATGACTTTTCTTTATATAGCTTTAAAACCTAAACTTTTACTTACAATCATATTCTATAGTTTTTTCATATTATTTAATAGACCAATGAGTGCGGCCTATAGAAAATTATACCAAATTATCAGCAAATATATACAGTTTTATATTATACACCTTTTAATATTTTTTGATGCATATATAAGTAAATTATTTAATAATAATTAACATTTTGATTATAAGCAAAATAAAACTTAGCAAACATTTAATTGAAATGTCAAATATTGTTATATCGATTAATTCTTAAGTTGACATATATTGTTAGATTGAATAATATATAAATTATATTAATATTAAAAATGAATTTGTGATGCTTTTACCTTTAATACGCTATAATATATATACTATAATATACTTGTACTGTACTGTCATTATAATGACATTCAATTTAATAGCAATTCCCAATAATTATATGTTTAATGAGTAAATATAACTAAAAATATAATACTTAATATAAAATAAAGATCAAGACATACTTGTTATGGCACCGACACAGACACCAGCGCTGGTCATAGAGAAAACTAAAGACATTTGTGATTGAGTGACATTCAAGTGATGACCCAAATCGAGAATCGTTGGCCCGAAGATACCGAATCGGATCGCCTATAAGATTATAGTTATTAATTAATTGTAATAATAGACAATTGTCTTAATTGTTAATATGCTATACCAGCTGCAGGAAGAGAAAATAGATAAGCGCAGTGGTAAGCAATTTGTGTGTCAAACTCTCCATGGTCATCTATCACTCCCCAATAGGACCAATCGGTATGCATACCACGTATAAGTAAACTAATTTGAAAATTTTGTTTAAATAACTAATTTCAACACAAATTTTTATATATTTTAGTTATTTTTTAATTAACAACTTTTCAGTGACTCTTTTCAAAGAATAACTATAAAGAATCGGATGTTTTTCATTCAATTTATAGTTTTTTTAATTGTTTTACAATTCATTTATTATCGCAAATCATTTACTATTATTTACGATATATGTATTTCTCAACTACAATATAGTGAACTACTTTTCAATTTCAGATAACAATGAGTTTGATTTTTTCATTATATTTTATGAATGAATTGAATTTAATGTTATCAGCAAAATAACAAAATATAATACACAAGAAAATCTTCACAAAAAAACGTAAGTCTCGTAGTGAATATCATTTCCTTGAAAACAAACAACAATTTTTACGTTTCTAATTAATAATTAGCACTTAATTTATTGCCATTTATTGTTAAAATAAATTGGTTTGTACCGGATTAAAGTAGATCATCACCATTAGGTTAGATCTAACGGAACTGTTAAATATATACACATTTACGAATTGTATTGATGTTTCATTCATTATAAAATTCATTCATACATTTTTTGCTACCTTTACTACAGATTGGCCTTAAAAATAATTGACTTATTATAATATTTCATATTATTTGTGAATAATTGCATTTTTATTAATTAAATTTATAAAATAAAAATATAATAATGTATACTGAAGTTTGATTATTATAATTTATTTTTTTAATATAAAATAAATGTGTATACAAATTATTACTTTAGCAGTAAATTGCTAAAAATAACTAATTAACTGCATTTGTTATTTAAATAGTTATAATTTGTTAAATTAAAATTAATTTCATAGATTAAATTTTAAACTATAATAATGTAAATCTTTATTTTAATAAATATATTAATAATTTTTAATGTATAGAAGCAACGAAAATTTAAATATTATAAAAATGGATATTTAATATAATCTATTAAACCTAAATAAAATTGATATTTTGATTAATTATCTTACAAACAGGACATTATACATAAATTTATATATAAATGTACTAGTTTATTAGTTTTATCAATTCAATTTTAATCTGTCATTAGTATTGTATCTTTTTAAATATTTATATGCAATTAGACTATTTATATACCGGTATATATTTTAACGATACTATAGAAATTTGTTTACATTATAAGTATTTATTGCATAAACAGATTGAAATTGAGGCTAAATGTAAAGTATATTAATTTATACTATGAATGTAATTTGATATTAATAGTACTTTAAACCATTTACTGTATTTTAATTGATTTTGTATAAATATAATAAACATTCACATTATGTCTGAATCATACAGTTTGTGATTATTTTAAACAATTTAACAAATATTATATAACTTCATAAATTAATAACTAACTCTAAAAGGTTTAAACTAAATATTAGATATACAATAATTAAATATATAACTAAAACAAATTATTATTTTAAAAATTATAATATAAGATGATAATAGTGATATTTAACATATACTGTATAATGTGTGTTTCTTATTTATAACGATATGTAAGTTAATCTTTATTATTTATTTAATTTTTGACAATAGAGTCGTTAAATTTGTAAAATTAATTGTGCAGTAAATATAGTTTTGGTTTATAGACATAAACGTCAGTCATTTCATTTTAGATAAAAAAATTTTATTGACTTTTATAGCATTTTGGAAAGATTTTTATGATTACTCATAAAAATTATGAATAAATAATCAAATATTTACAAATCATTTTTAATAAAGCAATTAGAAAATAATGTATAAATATTTTTATATAAATAATAGGAAATAAAAAATAACAATCAATTAATTGCAAATATATAAAAATATTTATACATTATATTATTATTCTAATAAATTGGTACATTTTATTAAAATATTTTTTAAATATTGAAACTAATTAATTATATAAATACACAATGATTTTTCTACATTTAATGCATTTTGTTAATCATAATTGTAGAAAATAATTATAGATATTATATATACTTAATTGAACTTATATAACAATTAAATTAACGTAATATTTATCTTTATGGCTGTAATCAAATAACACATTAGTTTGTCATAAGACTAATTAATAACGAGCCTATAGTATAATTAAAGTAATTATCTTAATCGTAATCTTTAATAAATTGTTATTTATGATCTTTTTTGTGGCAATTTTTAAGTTTACTGATATCTGATATCATATTTTATTTTTTTTAAAAACAAAATAGTTTTAATTGTCAGTAAAACTCTAAATATAATTATATATTTATAAGTTATGTAATATGAAAATTTCGACTTTTGATTTTCAAGTCGAATATATTAAACTTCTGAGATCAGACAGGTGTGTGAATGCTTAGGTATGTGAAAGCTCAGGGAGGTGTAGGTTAGCACACCTAACTTATACTGGATTCCAGAGACCCTAGAAATAAATGGCCAATCTTATTTTTTATTATATCTAATAAATTTTTCAATAGTTAAAAGATAATTTTATATTACAGTATTTATAAAATATTATAACTTAAAATCAGATAAATTAGAATATTATAAAAATTATAAAATATAAAAATTAACAATAAAAAAGACTGTAAAACTTAAAGCATATAAAGTGTTTTTATAATTATTTCATATCGGTTTTATTAGAGTATTATAAATATAACAAATTTGCAATTATTTTTTTTATTATATTAGCGTTTAATATAATTATAATAATAAAAGATTTAAATTACTAAATTTAGTTTTAAATATATGAAATGTCAATTATTCATATTTAACAGATACTTTACTTAGATGACAGAAGTTTAAAATAAAATAAATTTAATATTATAATTAACTTCTAATAACAGTCAAGAGATGTTAAATATAATTATTAAAAAAAATTAAATTTTCAATTAGCACAGAATTAAAACACATAATTATTGTATAAATAAGTTCTGTATTATTAGTAATTTTTTAAATATCTATCAATAGTTTTCAAATATCACAAGTTTTTAAATTTCTATTGAAATCTATTTTATTGTTAATGCAATCATTTGATTGCCTAAAAAATTGAACTAAAGTGCAATCAATCACATGTTATATTAGTAACAAACAATTAGTAACTCTAAATCTCTTTTATATTAATTATATGTACTATATATTTAAATAATATTCAAAATAAGTTTTTTTTGTGGTATAAAATCATTTTAATGTTTTCAATATTATATAATTTATACACAATATCTTTTTATTTATTTTGTTGTTTAATAGTGCAAAATATCATTGGATATTGTAATTGATAAAATCAAACTTTAAAAATTGATATATTGTTTGATATATTCAGTCATATACTGTATTCAATGGAAAAATTGTCGAAAATGTCTGAATCGGCTAAAGAGTTGAAAACATCCGTTAAGACTATCACTAGACTAAAGAGACAATTAAGTCCAGCGGTGAACATAAATGTCAAACCAAAGAGTGAAGATCATGAAAGACGAAGATATGATAGAGTGGCTAAAATGTTGGCCCAACAGAACATGAAGAATACCAAGGATTCAACAAAACAATTGAAATCTTCGGCCAAACAGATGGAAAACAAAAGCATTGTCACCGACGAGACTTACAGAAAGTTGATAACAGATCTGATGAAAAAACCTCATCCAGACTTCAATTCACAGTTGACTGTAACAGAGATTTTGCATCTCAAGAGTCAATTGAATAATTTGAAGAATTTAAATGACAAATCAAAAAGAAATTAATTTCTTTGTTTAATCGTTTAATTATTATTCTTAATCATACTTTACATAATCAATACATTAATAATACTCTTTAAATATATCATATCATAAAAATAATTATATGATATATTAATATATTAAAAAAAATTTTTTTTGTGAATATCATTAGCTCTCAACTTTTAAATAGATCTCAAATAATTACAAAACATTTGAATAATCATTATTAATACAAAAAGTCAATTTGAATCATTATTATAATAAATATATTATAAATAAAATTTCAATTATAAAATATGATATTTACAAATAATATGTTAATTAATGTTTATATTTTTAATATTGTAATTAAAATTTAACTCAATATTGAAATAAATACATAATTATGAATCAATTATAATATTAGACTTCACTAATAACCACAAGAATTGCTTGACTTGTATCGAGAATAAGATTGGCGTCAATACGGCAAATGTCGGCCAATTCAATGACCACTTGTTCATAGAGTGATACATCGGTAACGATTGGAACCGATGCTATAATTGCCGACGCGATCAGCATTTTGTTAGCAAAGATCTTCTCGATCTCTAACTCTTCATTATTTTGAGACATATCTAATGTTAATCTTTTACCTATAATTTTGTAAGCATTTCTTGTAATTATATTACGGGTTATGTAATATAAATCAACAAAATGTTTGACAATCTCATGAAATGTTGACAAATGTTGGCTAAAGTTAACGATATTGTGGTTCAGTACATCCAGAAGTGTTTGAACATAAGTGTACAGCGAATTGTGGATCAGTTTAAAGTCAAGTAGTCGTAGGACTCGTAGTTCCGATCGATTAATGTTTTGCAGCGAATAATTGTAACCACATTTGTGAAGAAATTGTCGTAATTTAGTTGTTGTTATCATTTGTTTGCTTCCATTATATCCTTTGACAGCAATGGCTACACACGTGACGGCTCGCAAATGCATCTGTTTCTTGAGTTTGTCTTCAATGGAGTTCCAGTCTAACTGTTGAGCATTTGGATGATCAGCCAATGCATGTGTTGTCTCAAAAAAAACTTTCTTTGTGTCGATCACTAGATTGACGATCAGTTTGTCCATCATTTCAATGGCAATGTATTTGACATCATTGTCCACTTGAAAGGTCTCGCAAATAGACATCAAGTTTTGGACGACACCTGAAGTGCAACAAAACTTACGGATCGACAGAAAGTTGTTATTGATTTGGTTTAAGTAATTGTTGTTCATATCATTCAAATGAAACAATATATCATTTAATACGTCTTCAGATATCATTGTGTTTGTCATTAATATATCAATCAATCGTTTGTTTCAATTAATAACACAAATGTCTAATCAATAACTAATCAACTTTTGAGTCATTATTGACCGCTATTTACCACAAACTGCTGTCAGATATTACAGACATTTCACTACAATAGAGGTCTAAATAATTATTGTATTAAAACAGTTATCCGTTTTTATAAATTTCATTGAAATTAAGTTATAATTTTATCAATATTTCTAATATAATATATTTATTTATAAATTATTAATTAACATTATATTTATATAATATTTGTTCATTAATGAGTAAATGTAAAAATATTAAATGTTTTAAACATCAGTAATGATTTGTAATTAATGGTAACGTAATGTCAAAAGTATTTAGTATATGTATTGCAAAAATATAATGTAATTATTTAACACATAATGTATGCAAAAATGTAATTATTATAATTCAAATGATTAAAACATTATACGTTTGAATTAAGAAAAATAACAATTTCTTTTGTCAACAAAAAAAAACAACTTATAAATGATATTTAAGTATAAAAATAATATTGATTTAAAAAACAGACAAATTATATGTTAGATAAATAATACTATAATATCACTCTTTGGTAGCATTTCTTTGGGCCAAATATTCGGCGAGATCTGCGTCCAAGTCATCAGTAGTGGGAATCACTTTTTTGTGACCACTTTTAACAGTTTCATTCATAGCTATATTAGACCAAACATCACCAGCTTTGGTGCCAACAGTCGATCCATTTGATTGTGATTTAAGTCTCGCATTAAAGTTTGATTGACGCGGACCTGACTTGTGATCAAATGAAGAACTGTTGCCATCAACTAATGTCAATCGTAAGACACGACCTATCATTTAATATCAATAAAATCAAATCAATTTCGTTATAATTAATATTACAAATAACAGACCATCGAGTGTCACATTATTAAGACTATTGACAGCAGTAATGGCATCGGCTTTGCGTTCAAACACAACAAATGCAGTGCCGGCTGACCGACCATTTCGGTCATAATTAAGAGCCGCTCTCTTGAGTGAACCGAAAGCATCAAAAAGTTGATGAATGTCTCCGTCAACGACACCGAACTCGAGATTTTCAATGAAGATCTGACCGCATGAACTGTTAAAGTGAATGTTTTTGGCCGATCTGTTATCATTGGCCACCGCTTTCTTGGCCATCAAATTATCTGCAAAATGACTCTTACGTTTCAATACATTGTTGTCATCGTTGGTAATATTGATCTCAATTTTATCAAATTTATTGTTTGTCGTCATCTCTTTGAGTCCTTTCTTGTGATTGCCTTTTGTAGCGGTGATGCCCTCTCTGGCAATGATCTCATCCAACGAAAGATCCAATTTGTTATTCATTGTAGTCATCGATGTCTTTACTGATGATAACAATAATTTGATTATAATTTTTGTCAAATAATTCAAACGATAATCATATGTCTTATGATTAGTCAACACATGTCTCATACAAACACATGCTTTTCAACTCTATTTGATTGTAACAACAATTACGACAAATAATTGTTATTAAATTAATATTCAATTTAATCAAACGTTTATAAAGATATAAAAAACAATAAATTAAATGATAATAAGTTTATTGAAAAACAAATAAAACAGTTTTTTTTGTTTAAATATATTAAATAACTTTTCATAATTTTTTCTAATAAATATTTAACCTTTAAAAAAGTTGTTTACTATAAAAATAAGTTATAAATGACAATAATATTATATTTAAAATAAATGTTAATTAAGTTGGATGCTAACTACAGTACTTATATACTGCTATAATTAAATATCAATAAAATAATGTATTTTTGATTGTACTGTATTAGACCATTTAGGTTAATAAAATAATATAGTAGACGATAAAAGATAAATTTTAATATACAATATTTAAATTATATACAATAAAATAAATTGAATAAATCATTTATTTGAATTTGTTTAATAAGTTTTATATATTTCTTATTATTTATAAATACTATCATATGATTGTTAATAAATTCAATTATTTAACATTAGTCTTAAAGCAATCAAATTGAGGTCATATTTTGATTTTTTACATCACTTTTGAATCACTCATTTAATTTGGTTATATTTATTGAAAAAGTGGTTTTCCAATGATTTTATATCTGATTACTTATATTATAAAATTTAAAACAAATTTTTAAAAAATAATTTGAAGGAAATATTTTAGTTTTACAATTTAATAATGAATTACTTACTACTAGTAAGTTATTAGTAATATAATTTTGTTAATAAATTATTAAAGATATTTTTATTTTAATATTTGATAATGAATTGAATATCAAAATTAATGATTAGATTTTAGCATAAATAATTGTATTTAAAAAATTTGTTTGATTTAGTTTTGTCTAAATTTATATGCCATTATAAACTTTATTTAATTTTAATTATTGATTTTATTTTACTACTTGTAAATTTTTATAATTAAAGTAAAAGTAATTACTGTGACACAAAAATTTATAAATTATATAATATTATAATATAAATTATTTGAATATTTTTTTAATTATATCGTTTAATTTCTTTATAAAATATTTAAATATTGAACACAATAATAAAATTATATATCTCTTTATAAAAAATACTGTATTACAATGATTCAATAAAAAGCTAAAATAATTTATGCATTATAATTTATAATAATGGTATACTGTATAATGAATAACAAATATAAAATACTAAATATATAAACTAATAAAAGTTTTATATTAATTAAAATCATTGAACAACTAAACAGTAATGACTTTCAAGTTTAGTCACTTATATTAACAATAAGTTTATTCAAAAGTAAATTTGAAATCAATGTCATAAATAACAAAAAGACATCAAATGAAGTAAAATTCATATAATTTTTTAAAAGTGTTATTCATAGTATTATATATTCAACATTCATAACAAAATTTTAATAATTTAATTTTGTTGTAAATTTATTGACCCATTAATACTCAAACTATTTGTTTATTATTAGATATCACTGAATCTGAAGGAAAACTTGATTTTTGACAAATATTTAATATATAAATACAATATATATTCAGAGCGTATCATAATAATAGTTCCGACAATTATTTAAGACTTTATTATCATAAATACAGTAATAAATTGTTTAGTTAAGTGTAAAAACAAAATTGTGCTGTTTTGTTATTACATTAAATAACTTGATGATTGTGTTTATTTTTATTCAATTTGTACATTAAATGATAAAAATCAACTATAAAAGATTGAAATTTAATAATATATTAAATATATTTATTAAAATCAATTGTCTAAATGACTATAAGTTTATTTTATATTATTGTTTTTATTGTATTATATTTAAAGTACTGTATTATAAATGTTGTACAATTTATAACTATTTTTAAACTGATTCATTTAATGTGAAAATTTAATACATTTTTAATCATATTTTATTTAAAAAATTTGTGTTAAATTAGTGCAAATAACCTAATTGTTCAGTTATATAACTAATGTCGCTTTTTCAGGAATACCGTTATATTTTATTGAAATATAACTAATTATATTACTGTTTTTTATTTTAATAGATAATAATTAGCATAAATATGAAAATATATATATGAAAAAGTGTTAATAAAAATAACAATGTTAATAATGATTAAATTTATGTGTTATTAGCAATGAAGTATAATTATTAAAAATTTATTTGTATTAAATATTTATTTATCAAGTTTAAGATAATTATTAACAAATTCAATGAATATAAACGATTTAAACGATTATTGTTTGAAAGAAATTTTGAAACAACTATCACTTTACGACAAACTTAAATGTGAATTAGTTTGCAAATCATGGCATCACTTGATTTGTCAGGTATTGACACAACAATTGATTATTACAATTAATGACTGTTATGATGGTATTGATGGCAATAAAATGTTGCAATGTTTGCATAAATACATCGATAGATGTACTAATTTGAGATCAATTAATTGTAATGACTGTCATATTATTAATGACGATATAATAAAACTTATTTTAAATAAATGTCATCGACTTATGAGCTTTAGATGTGATATATGTATGACAACATCGCAACTTGAAGTGCTTACAAGTGGTAAATATACCCAACAGTTGACAGATATTTGTCTAATTAATCAAAGTTTTGATGACAAGTCATTGAAAGTGCTTCTCAGTGGTTGTCTTAATGTTAAGACTTTAAATATATCAAATAACGATAGAATTACGGGAGAAATAAGTCTTAAATGTCTTAATGAAAGTATCAATAATTTAGACATTTCTGAGTGCCGTTATATTAGAGAAACAGGCATTAAATCATTGGTCTCTAGTAATGCTATTAATTTATTACATTTAAAGATCGGGACCTACATATCATATGATATTATTAAATTAATTGTCAACAAATTCAAGCACTTAAATCAATTATCTATTAATGCATTTTATTATCCACAAGAGTTTATACCAAATGATTTAACAGTTATATCAAAGCTTAAGAATTTACAACATTTATCAATACATAATTTGACACCACTTTTACACAATAATTTTGATCTAATTTTTATTCATATTATTAGATCACTGACTAATTTAAGATATTTGTCACTAATTAAAGTTCAAATAAGTGATAATTCATTAGAAAATTTGTCAAATCTGTGTCCATTAATTGAAACATTTAATTATCAGTATTCAATTTATCCATCAGTTATCAACAATGAAATCACTGATAATGGTATTAAATATCTTAAAAAATTAACTAAATTAAGACATTTGTCAATAATTGGCTATAAAATCATTAATAATAATAATAATAATAATATAATAGATAAATATTCTTCAGAAAACTGCAAAGAATTTTCAGAGAAATGTATTAATGATGTGATGTTTAAGACAAACTTTATGAATATAATGATCGACAAAATTAATAGCGAGGAATAGTTATAAATTTTAAATATTTTTTAAAAATTATAACTTCAAAACATTGAAACAAATTCATATGTTGTGAATCACTAATATATGACTGATAAATAACATGAAATATTTCAATTTAATGTCAAAATCAAATTATTCACGAAATACTGTATTTTGAAAATAATTTAGTGTAAATATTGGACTAATAATTAATGAAAAGCATAGTATTTGTACAATAATTTTATTGAATGATATAAAAAGCTTATTATGATTTGATGGCAGTTCTTGAGACACATATAATTGTTTTGTGTTTTTCTTTCCAATCGATATAATTGTGCCAAATGTCTAACCAGTGACTGATGGTTACAAACAAGACTGTCATTGGCATCAATACATAGATGTAGACATTCAATGCAATTACAATAAACAACACAATTGTTAATAAATATGTGTTAATAATGTTTTGTATGGTTCGCGGAACCACTCGGTAATGATTTCTTTGCCAGAGTTGAGTCAATAGTATCCCATTAAATACCGGTCCATATTTGCTTATCACAAATACGGCAATCATTGTGATAATTGATACAATTAATAAAAATGAACCTGTTATTAATTCCCGTTGAACTCCCGGTGCTTTAAGTATAAAGTGAAATATTGATAAGTTTGAGACAATGATAACAATGCTGTGATATGTCTGATTGCAAACATTACAACTGTTTTGTTTGTTAATATGAATCCATTGGGACAAACACTTGAAGTGAACCGAACCTACAGTTCCTTTGCAATTACAAGGACTTATCAAATCTGATTCTTGACTTTTTTCCAGACATATACGACACTCTTTTATCATCTTTTTATATTGTATTTGGTTTTTGATTTTTGCCACAAGAAGTTATTTTTCGGGACAATATTTTATACACTATTTTACATTTTTTTTTATTTCATTTTATGATTATTTTTAAATTCATCTCAATTTTTATATTTGTCTCGTGTGATACTAATTAACTATAAGTAATATTATAATGTTTTGTATTTTATATATTATATTTTTAATTAAATTACGTATAGTTATAACGATAAAACTTATTCCAATAACAAATAAATTTAATTTATAAATTAACTAAAATTTTATAAATATAAATGTTTATTAAATTAATAGAAATGAACTATTTATTTAAAAATCAAAAAAGTTAGAAAACAATATAATATCTTTTAAACCAAATGTTTTGAGAACCAAATTGAAGACTATTCTTGAAATTTGTATAATTTGTCGCATATTTTCTGAATTTTGCTCTATTTTTCTTATATTATCTCTTAATAAATCATTTATAGTTTGACTTTTTGTCACTAATTTATTGCAATTATTATGACATTCATTGTTTAAATTGGCATTTAATCCATTTATTTCCAGTAATTTATTTTCCGATAATGAATTCAATACGTATTTATTTACTTCTTTAGCCATCAAATAATGACTTTCAATAATGAGATGGTGTTCATCACCGGTAATACCATAATTATGAAGCACTCGTATGCCATCAAACAAGTCATCTAAAGTCCATTGCAGTCGTCTTTGGCAAACATCCCTTTGATTAATCAGTTTTTCATTGTAATAACTCTTCAGATCAGTTGATTGATCATTAAATGCCAATTTGTCGTTCAATTGTTTTAATCTATTATAAGATTGTAACACTTCCTCTGCCATTGAATTCACACGATTTATGGTACGACTTGTCATTGCATTTCATAAATTATCTGTCATTAGATTAATTTGAATTAATAATTATTATAGTCAACAGATATAATTGTTTGAAGCAAACAATGAAAATATCAATTAAATGGTGTTTTTTAGTTATAGATCCCGTATTAGTTGCTTATGTAGATTGTTGTCCAGCACGACCTAAACTACTTTAAGCTAAGCATAAACATAAAAAATATATAAATTAGTTATAACGAGACAACAATGTAAGACCTAAAGTAAAAAATAATTCAAATAATATATTTTTATGTAAATTATATATAATTTTTTTAGCAAAACTATATTTAATTGTCGACATTATTATTATGTTTGTCTGTTTAACTAAATTTTTCAGTTGTATTACTAAAACATTTTATTGTCTTTCATTCAAATTAAACCGTTGTTATAAAAGATTAGTTAATAAATTTTGTTTATTGACTAAAGATATGGATTCAAAACACATGAATTACCAAACATTAGACAAAAAAGCAATTATCAAAGGATTGGATAATTTAGGAAATACTTGTTATATGAATAGTTCGATTCAGGCTTTACATGCCATACCTGAGCTGAGACAACATATATCTCAAATAAATTGTAATAAACCGTTACATTTAAGTTTCAAGAAATTGTTCCATGAGTTGGACAGTATGACTGATGAGACAAGTGTTGATCCAACAAATTTTTGGCAAACTTTTGCTGAATTTAATTCTGAATTTCAAGATAAGGAACAACACGACGCTCAGGAGTTTCTTAGATATCTCATCAATGGATTACACGACGAGATTAATACAGTTCAGGCAAAACCTAAGACACAAACAGACAAACAAATCAATAGTAATAAGGCCTGGGATTACTATAACAAATATGTGGACAACTCATATTTGGTCGACTTATTTGTAGGACAGTTCAAGTCAACAGTTAGGTGTGATTATTGTAAACATGAAAGTTGTTGTTACGAAACATTTTGGGATCTCTCGATATCCATACCAGAAGTCGACCATCAGATCACTATTGTTGAGTGTCTTCGCTATTATTTCACAGACGAACAATTGACTGGCGATTCGATGCCCACTTGCGATACATGTGCTGCAAGACGTAGTTCAACAAAACTGTTGGCTTTTAGACGGACACCAAAAATATTGGTAATACAACTCAAGAGATTCTTGAACGACGGCAAAAAAATCTCGAGATTAGTGACAATTGAAACCCAAATTACAATCGATGGACTCGATTATAGCATCTTTGCATTGATCACCCATAAGGGACACACCTGTCTAAAAGGTCATTATGTTTGCTATTGTAAAGTTGATGACCAGTGGTATACATATGATGACGAAGAAATACATAAGAAATTTGAGATGCATTGGGACGACATACCCGGCTCTTACATACTTTTCTATAGGCAAATACCCGGTCCATCCCATCCTATTTAAGCCATAGTTTATAAATATTGTTGCAATTGTGTATAAAAAGATTAAATTCAATTATTATTTATTACAATAATAAACAATAATTATTAAAATAATGTTTTATTTATAACATTTAAAAAGTTTATTGTGTTATTTATTGGGCATTTGCACAATGGTTTAGAAAATAAAATCTAAGAATTAAAATAATTTATAAATAAATATCAAATGTTTTCTTTTGCAATGTTTTGCGATTGAATGAAATAATTTCTTTCGTTATTTAAAATGCGTAAAAATATAGTTAAACCAAATGATAAGCAAACTATTGATGACAATATTATTATAATCAAAGCTAATGTCGACACTTTATCGGTTGACTTTTGAGTTATTGAAATTTCAGGATTTTTATCTATTAAAATATTTTGTTTAAGACAAATATCATAAAATTGGGAACAATTGTATTGATTGACACTCTCAACGTCATGTTTCTGTTCATTTGCTAATTGATTGCATATATTAAAATTATAACTTTTATTATTATTATTATTAACGTTGATATTATCGACACAATCGACTAAATCATTGATACAATTATATGTGCAGTCAATGTGTTTGTAATGAAAGCAACAGAATATCGAGGCATTAAAACTATCAATTGATTGATTATTATTTGCGTCAAAACATTGATAACAATTGTATTCATGAGATATGTTTGTCCGACAATTAACATAACAATAGTTAATATATGTTTTATTGATTTTATCAATTGATGGCTCAGAAAATACATTTTGTGATTTAATAGTCATTTTAATCGATGAATTGTCTGATAATATATTCTCTTTATTGAATCCTATTATTGTCACATTTGATTGAAAAGTTGTAATTAGTCCACAACATACAGGTGCTAATAATGACATATTAATTGTCAATTGTATTAAGACTAGTATTAAGACTAGTTTTGTCATTTTATAAGAAACTTTCAATTGAATTGAATTTTGAATATAATTCGTTAGTAAAATATTGAATTAGTCTCGAACAGCAATATTCAAAATATTTAAGTATTTTATATTAACTTTTTTAACAAATCTATATTTTAGTTTAAAATAGAAGTTCAGATATTTAAACTGATTTATACATTATTATACTTTTAATAACTTATAATAATGTTTTTTAATATAAATATTTTATTTTCATAATTTCTAATTTTTTATAATAGTATTTTTAGTTTATCGTGTTATATAAGTGATATAAATTTTACAAAATTGGGTAAAAATAAAATGATCTTATCTTAGGTTATTTGGTTGAATAATAATTGAACAAATATTTTTCAAATATTCACCAAATATTTTAATATCTTTATTAATAAAACTTAACTTTCTATTAATATTCATGCTTTGAAATACTGTTATATTTGCAATAATTGCAATAATGTAGAGTAAGTATTGTTGGCGATTGCAACTTAATGTTTAATTTAAAACACTTAATTAATTAATTGATTGTTGAAGTAAATTAATTGACATCAATTAAAGACATAATTTAAATTTTGAAAATATATAAATCAATAGTGAAAATCGTTAAGTAGTTGAACCGTTAATACTGTTAAATATTTGAGAACAAACCATAATTGTTTGGTCCATCCATTGAGTGAACAGTTATATTGTGATTAATTTAAGACTAAAAACAATAATCAATAGTTATGGGCGGTTGTTGTGGTAAAGGACAAGAAGAAGCACCTCAGGAACAGCCTCAAGAGGGACAGACAGCCGAAGGAGAAGCTGCAGCGCAACCGACAGGTTCTCAACAGGGAGAGCAACCACCAGCACAACCATTGGTTGCCCCTCAAGAAGGACCGCCTGCGGCGCCGTCGAAATCAGGCTCTAAGGTCGCTCCGTCGGCCACGTCGGCCGCGTCGGCTGCGTCGGCGACTTCGGGTACCGGTGCGGGTTCAGTGTTCAGCAATACATCGCCTCAATCGTCATCAGCCGGTAATTCAATGGGCGGTTCGAATGTCGGATCTACCATATCATCGATGAAATCGCAGAGAAGTGCATTGCAACCCAATGCTAGCTCAACCAAAGGCGCGTCGGGAACTGGATCTGCGACCGGATCACAAGTGGCTAATTCCAGTGCTGGTTCAAAGGCCGGATCGGCTGTCGGCTCTAAAGCAGCTCCGGGATCAGCCACAGCTGGCTCTAAGACTGGCTCAAAAGTGGGTTCACAAGCGGCACCCGTAGGTTCTGCGACTTCACCTGCTCTCCCACGAAGTGCATCGGGTTCCAAGACAGGTGCCACTCCTGGTTCAGCTACCGGTGCAGCGGCTAGTGGTTCAAAAACTGGAGCTACTCCCGGTTCAGCTACCGGTGCAGCAGCTAGCGGTTCAAAAACTGGTGCACCGCCTGCGCCTCCCGGTTCGACAACCGCTACTTCGACGGCTGGATCAAAGACTGGCGCCACCACTCCATCCAAATCGGGATCAAAGACCACTTAAACAGCAAAAGGCCTCAAAAGATATCAAATGTCTGTTTTCACTATTGATCCATAAATTAGTATTTATTTTGTTTTGTTTTCTGTAAAATACGAACAAAATTAATAAAATGATGACTTGAATGCATTTATAGTTTATAGTAAATCAAATTTTTTTTAGAAACTTAAAAATAATTGATTTTTTAAAATTCAAAAATATATTATCATTTTTTATATTTGTAGAATTTTGAAATTTATTTATTAAAATAGATTTAAAAAACAATTTATTTTACTTGTAAAGTATACAATTATATAATAGCTAATATTAAATTAATTTTATAAAATTATAACAAAAAAGCATAATTTGTTAACAATTACTGTAAATATTATTACAGTGATTGGAGTACTCTATCTGATGAGTTGTGACGACAAAATGTTTTTTATAAATATAAATTACACGAGATTTAAATCAAATAAACTTTTTAAATAATTTTTTACTTTATTGGTTATAATTATATTTACTGTATAAATAAATTGATTAGACTCATCAAAATGTTTAGTTGGTTGCAAAATTTATATAAATTACTCAATTATGATTACACAGATGAAAATGTAAAGTATAAATAAAACAAATTGAAATTTTGTTAAATACATAATTGTTATGTTAATCGCATATAGAATTTGAAACAAACAGAAGATATTGAAAAAGTACAGTTAATTAATAAGTATAATGTAATCAATAAACTTATTAAAACTAATCAATTGGATAAATATCGTAAATTATTGCTTGAATTTTGTAATCAACAATCAATTCAGACATTTGATGAAGTTTTCAAACAAAGGTTTGAACAACAAATCTGAAAATATTAATATATAAATATATAATTTAATATATAATATAATATTAATTGTCTTTAATTTAAACTGACAGTTCATTTAGTGATGTCATACGTTTTGATTACGGCTCTTACTCTGAAATATTTAAGGCATTTGATAAAAGTAATAATCAAATGGTTGTCTTAAAAGTGATTCGTGCCTTAAGTGGTCAACTAATACAACAACTCGACAATTCAGAGTCGGGATCTATAACTACATTTGAAGATATCTTTAATGAATTTCAGATAAGCCAGTAATTAATATCATAAAAATTAGATATATTTTTATTTCAAATATATAACTAATTTTTAAATATATGTTGAATTATATACAGAACTCTATCGACTTTAAACTCTTCATCCGTCGACTTTAGTACCAATTGTTTTCCTCGAGTTTTATCAAAGTATTTGGTTTGCGGACAAATACCACAATATTTTTGTATCGATAATCCCAACGTTGAGTTAATGCAAATCAAAAACGATTTTCATAATTTGAATACATTTCGTATGTATTATGAAAATTAGTTATTAACTATTAATTTTTATAATTGCAAACAATTAATTAATTTAAATACTTGTAATAAATCAATAGCTCATGAATATGCTGTAATCATAATGACATTTGGAGGACAGTCTCTATGGAAAGTCATAGAAGTTATACATCTATTTTTTTTAAAAAAATAAATGTAACAAATATTAAAACATTTTTTAATTTATAGGATAAAAGTATAAATGCAAAGCAATTGCTTAGTGTTTTAAGACAAGTCATCATAGGATTAGCTGTGGCTGAGGCCAGGTTTGACTTTGAGCACAGGGATCTTCACGATTCAAATATAATAATTAGTGAAACTAATTGCGATAAAATTCATTTCATCCATAATTGCAAACATTATTATGTTGAGAGTCGAGGACTGAAAGCCACTATAATTGACACAACTTTTTCAAGGATTACAATTGGTTTTATTAAATTTATAAATATATGAATAAAAATTACTAACAGTCTATCAATAGATAATACAGTTTATTGTAAAGACTTAACAAATGTTATGGTATTCACGCCAACAACTAAATTGTCGGCTCAGGACAGGACTTATAAATCAATGGTTACTCTAACTAAGTAAATGATCATAATTTTCATTTTATAGTTTTATATATTAATTATAATAATTTTTTTGTTAGAAAAAATTGGAGTCAATTTTGTCCAAAAACTAACATTAATTGGTTGTTATTTATATGCAGAAGACTTTTGAAATCTCAGATAATCATCACTTCAAGTGACCAAAGAAGTAGATATCAGATTAAATACATTTATCAAACATTGAAGACTAAAAACTCATTGCAAGAAATTGATTTCATTAAACTTTGAAATTATGATTATTAATGATTATATTATTAAATATTTATCTAAAAATTTCTAACTTGATATCAAAGATTATTGTTTAATTTTAAAATACAGTATTTTATGAAATTATATTATTTTATAATAGTCTATATTATTATTATTAAATTAACTCTCAATTATTAATAGTTATAAATTGAGGATTTTGTGTATCTCATTGCCAATAGATGTCACAAATAATATTATTTTATGCTAAGCTATGCTTTTATTTAATCAAATTATGAATTCTTTAATAAATATATTAATTTATTGATAATTTTATGCAATTTATTACAAATAATGTAATTTTGTATATATTTTTATTGTAATATTTGTCAAATGATATGGTAGCCAATTAACAATAATGAAATTTTTAATATATATTTTTACTTATGCAGTACTTTACTGATACTTTTATTATATCACTAAATAGTTAATTAATCCATTGAGAATAGATTTAAAATGCTTATAATATAAACTGATTAATTGACCAACATCAATTTTAAGCAATAATATTTATATTACATAATTTTTATTTACTTTATGATATCTTATGTTTTAAATAAATAATCTTTATTAAATAAAAATAAAAATATAATAGATTTGATTAAATATAGTATTTATTTATTTATATAATTAATACCAACAATTAATATAAAAATATTTATATTTTTGTTTATATTTAGTAATTTTGTTAATATAGTATAAAATAATTTTTAATTTATTATTAGTACAGTTTAGATATAAAAAATGATTAAGTAATTACCGTTAGATGAGATATTATTATATATTACAGTACTTTACTTCTACTGTATATACTAATGAAATATTCAATCAATTTATATTAAAACATTAATGCATTGTATATGTTAGCAGATATTATACTTTTTTGGATTAAAATTTGTTATAAATGTTAATTATGATACATAAAAACATATAGAAACAATTATATTAAATAGGATATATCATTTTGTTTTATTTTTATTTATATAAATCAATTTTAACATTATATAATTTTATGATAAATACTTTAATTTCATTATTTTTAGTTATACAATATAGTTATTTATAATACAATATTTATTTAACTATATTGAATATTTATTTATAAGACTTTTAAGAAAAATAATAAAATAAAATAAAATTATCTTTACATTTAATTGATTTAATGTTAATTATAAATTATATATTTATTTAATAATATATTTGATAAAAAAACATTTTTAATGATAACTTTATTTTTTACAGCTATAATAGTAGTATCATATTTCTAACAAATAAAAATTATAATTATATTTATGTTTATATAAAAAAATAATTATTAAAATTTAAATGATTTTCAGTTCAATTGATGCTAATAACTAGTTTATTTGCAAGTAATCTATTAATAGTTACAAGTAATTTGTGTTATGCAATGTATTTGCAACAAACAAATTATTGTAATCGTAAATCCTATGTTTATAAATACAATATATGAATATATATATATAATTTATGAAAATGTCAATACTGTATTATATGTGATGTGAAATTTCAATGTAATTTTGATTATATTCAAAATAAAATTATTAGATATGAAAAGCAGTGATGCAATGCTAATGATTAGTCAAATACAAGTTATCTAATGACACAGATTTACTAATTTCCTATTTATTGATTTTATACTAATTTTAATAAACACTTGATATAAACCCATTTTTGTAATTGTCATAAAAATTTACATTTATTGTACATATAATTTCCTAACATTAATCATTATTTAATACAAATGTATTAAACAAAAATAACAATCCGAAAAATATTAAAATACTGTATTTTAATATTATTTAAAAAATATTAAAATACTGTATTTTAATATTATTTAAAAAATATTGTTATATTGTGAATATAATAATTTAGTTATATTAAATTTTTACATCACTCGGCATAAAATTTTTTGCAGATAATATAGTAATCAATTGTTGTATTATATACTATATACTATAATATATAGTATATATAAAATTGTTTGAATATATCATAATAAATCTGTTCAAACAAACAGTAGTTTAATTGATACAGTAGTGCATAGCATAACACATTAGTTTACAAAACGATTGATAAATATAATATAAATATTCAGTCATAAACTTCTTAGTTTCGCATTTAGATGGCTATCGTTTGCCAAAAAACTATTTTATTGTTGACTTTACTTTTTCAGGGATTTAGTTTATTTGGCAAACTATAGATATTTATATTGATAGAGATATTCATGAATAGGTGTCATAAAATTGCTATAAATTATGGTCAAAGAAATGACAATTTATTAGAAATAAGTAGTCTCTCTATGAAATCACTGTTGATCTGTGAAATCTCTCTCTCTCTCTCTCTCTCTCTCTCTCTCTCTCTCTCTCTCTCTCTTTATCTCTATTTCTTTTCCTATTTTTATGACATCAATAAAAACATCTAACCTTAGCTTTAGGTAAACTAAAAATGTTTTTCATTTCATTGATATCTAAAAATTTATTTCATAAGGAAAAAGACGTTCAGATAAAATTCATTTGACTTAAAATAAAATTTGTCACATAAATACTGAACACAATATATGATATATATAAATAAATATATACGCTATACTATTACAGTATAATAAAAAATACTTTATATGTAATATTTGTATTTTTTATTTTCAAGAATATATTATTTAAATAGTAATATTAAGCCATACATTATATTCAATTATTCCCAACAAATAATTAGTTAAAATAATGAATGAAAACAAGTTATTAACTATATTTAAAATATTTATCATTTGTGATGGATTAACGAAACACAGATATAAAATGTAATCACATAAGGGGCGATTCACATATTACGTTCGCACTTTTTAAGAAATCTAGACCCACTCCCTGACCTATGTTCGCAATTGTTCGCATGTAGTCATTTAAATAAATTACGTTTGCATTTCCCTAACTGCTTACTCCCCACCACTAAGAAATAAAATATCTAAATGCGAACGTTTTTAAAGTCTCTACCCCTCCCCTCCTTTTTCGCAAAAGTTTGCTTTGGCCAATCCCCCTCCCCTCAAGTGAAAACGTAATATGTGAACCACCCCTAGTGTAATTCACAACATTTATAATGTTAATTGACTATCTTAACATTTATATTTTTTTTATAAATTTCTTACAATATAATCATAGTAAATATATAAGTTATATTAAATATTTCTAACTAAAAGATTATTTATTTTTAAATATTAATATAAAAGTAACTTTTTAATAAAAATAATCAATTGCGTAAATTACAATATAAATATTGGATATATTTATTATAAAATTTTAAAAAATTCTTGTTAAATACATTATAATTTTTCATATATAATTATTTAATTAATGTCTTTTTTATATTAATTTATTAATATTCTAATAATAAAATTGAAAAATACCAAACATTAATACAATTATTTCATTTATTTATAAACACTTATAATATATACTGTATATATATTGTAATAAAATCATTATAAACTTATATTTATAAAAAAATATTTTAACTATTAAAATTGCATTATTGACTCAACTATAAGTTTTCACAAATAAAATATCAATGACTTTAATACAATAGTAATACAATTTTTAGCGAATATGACTTATATATCACTTTCTTTAATATATAAATTTGAATGTCATTATTATCTATGATTTATGGCACTCTCTTGGGTTTATAAAAATATATAACTTATTTATTTCTATTTTTTATGGTTTTATTGTATATAAAATCAGCCAAATAATATAAATCCAAAAAATATTGAATCAAATGTTATATAAAATATTACACAATATATAGAAAATTTATTTTGTTTGTTTAATGAGATTTTAATCTTAATACAAAAATACTATATTATTTTAATGGTTTACATCAATTTATTATTAGATTTATTTACTGTATTACAGAATATGATATCAGTTTTTATTAGACATTATTAACATTTAAAAATAGTATTATTGCTTAATTTAAGACTTTATTAATGTTATACATAAACATTAAATAAATGAGGTATATATATATATTATATACTGTATATATTAAAAAATATTGCATAATATTTTATTTAGTGTTTTTAGTAATGCATTAGTTTTTTGAATTACTGATTTCATTGATTTTGCATTTGAATTACACTACAAAAATAATAAAAGATTGAATGAATATAATGTATTATAAAAAATATTTGACTTATTATAGAATATTATTCATACATTTGTACCAAAATATAAAAAAGAGTATTCAGAATAAAAGGCAAACTTATTATTGATGAGTGTTTTCCACTAAAAAAATCAGTGATTGCAGTGTCTGACAGACTGATAACACATCAATGAGAAAAAATATATGACATTAACAGTGATTTTGATTGACTCTTGAGACTAGACTTTATATATATTTTGTTTTGTTTTGCATTCCTAACAAATGTAACAAAAAAATTACAGCATATTTTAGGTCAAAGTCTTATTTACAATTATTTTTTTTGGTTTTTAATAAATATATACAGTATATATCGATAGTTTTATAATCAGAAAAATTATTTTGATATATATAGTATATATTAAAATTTTTGTTAAGTATTTGTAAAAAATTAAATTATATTTAAAATAAAGTATATGTATTTCTGGCAAAATTTAATTTAAATGATAAATACATTTTATAACTTGTAGATATTGATCTATCATTAAATTTTAGTTGTAATTTAATTACTTTACTGAAAAATTTGTAAAAAATAATATAATTTAAATATAAAATTTATTTTTACTTAAATAATAAAATTTGTAAAATATAAAAGTTATTTTTTAAAGTGTTTAAATTCAATTTTTCAATTAACAAAATTATATTTTTAAATTTTGATACAAGTTTAAGTTTCAAATCATTTTATTTAGT